AGACTCTGAGTTCAAAGTCATCTACAACGTATACAGAAATCTCTCAAAGACAATTATATTACATCTTCCTAGCATTACTGAAGCAATAGCCATGCATCTGGGAAAACCAGAATCGTGCGTCCAAAAGTGGTTGTTTAACCTCTTCCTTTACCATGGTCTTAATATCTTATCTATTTTATTTTTTATTTTCGTTTTCTTTCTTCATACTGTTCTTCCTTTATAACCATCTGTTTCCGCTTCCATCTTCTCCTTAAACTTTCTACCCCCAACTGATTTATTTCTGTTTCTATGATCCTCCTGATTACATTTAATCTTAATTGATTAAACCGTTTTTTTTCGTAAGAAGATGAATATTATTGTATACCTAATTCAAAAGATGTAAATAAACTGAAACGTGAATATCATTTGAACATATGTCAATATTATCTTTCACCATAATAAATATTATTGATAATTTGTTTAGCATATCCATGCATATAGATTACTGCATATATCTTTCTTCACATTAGTTAAATGGATTTATGTATTGTAAATATTTACTTATTCTATTTTTCTATGTAAAATACAATACTGGTTTCTATATCACAAAGTTAATTAGGTAGACGAATACAAAATACCAGGAGGGGTTTTGTGGAGATTTTAGTAATTTCGATTGTTGAGATTGTGAGTCAATTGAAGCTAGATCACTATGGAAAATCCTAGAAGGACTGGACGTCGTTTCGTCCTACTGTGAAACTCCTCAGTAGCGCTCATCCACGACCCCACCTCGCGAAATTCGAACCCAGGATCTACTGGTCTTGCGCGCGAGTACTTAACACAAAATAATTAACTTTAAGATTTTTTTAATACCAAACTATTAAAAAGTTACCTTGGTTTTAAGTTTTCATCTTCAAATTCGACAATTTAGCTTAAATATTATTGAATCCTTGAATAAATGAAGTTTATCCATTAACTAACATTAACTTTTATTTGAGATGTGTGTGAAAAAAAAATCACAAATGAATGCGTTCAAACAATATTATACTTTACGTAGGATAAACATAATTTCCTTTAAATGAGTTTATCATCCCTATATAGAGAATCATTCATTAACATAGTGATTTTGTTTTCAAGTGTAGCATTGGAACATTGTCAAATGTTTAGCATTTGAGTAAATCAGTACATTAATACTTATTAATTTAGTTCTAAAACGAAAACATATTGTACAATCCATCACAATAGAGGATCTGTTTTTGAAGAACAGTGATTATCTTATTCTGTAATACGCTGATATCTAGGAAAAAATAAACATACATTAAATTAGTTCCTAGCAAATTGAAACACAATTATATGAACGAAGAATATTCTTTTCAATAATTTCTCATCGGGTTCTACAATTACAAATCTAAATTACTAATCCATAAAATTGGCCAAATTTAAGGCAGAGTACATCATTTGGAAATTGTAATACGTGAATTAAGAATTGTTGTTTGTTATGTAAAATCAAATTAAATCGTTAATGTTCGGGCTGACTAATATGAAGTGTTTACTTGAATCAGTTTATAAGTGGGATGAAATTGTGAGATAAATGATGATCAGAATAAATATAGTCAACATGGGGTGAGAGAGAGAATCATGTAATTACAAATCGAAAAATATGTAATATATAGAATAATATGAATCAGATATGAATTAGTAGATAGGGTTGAATGCTGAATAAATTTCTTAAAAAGGTTAGCAAGTGTAATAAAAATAATGATGAAGATAATAATACTAATAATGACAATGATAAGATGTGTGGATAAGTTTGGGACATGGAAATGAACAATAATCGAATTACATCACCATATTTAAAAGTGATCATCAACTAGCTGACCCCGAAGTTGGCCAGAGCAAAAGGAGCTGCTGAACATATTTCTTTTGAATGCAAATCTTTGACTTTTTGATCCGAATAGCAATTGCTTCAGCCATCTGCAGGATTCTCAGTGTGACGGAATATGTAGATTGTTGTTAACACTTGCTCTACAGGAGCAGTTGAATTGATAGATATAGAAAGAAGTGACCAGTCTAGGCAATTTATCTTTCAACCTTGGAGTGATCATTGTACGTGTGGAAAACATTAATTGTAGTTCACCTGCATTAAAAGTTCTTTGAATTGATCTGCATAACTTTAGTCTAAGCATTTCACTAGGTGCATCGCCTCTGAATTGTAAGCGTAAATACAGAGGCTTTTTGCTCAAGGTTGGGCATTCCTTATGCTCTTTTATTGGTTATATGTTTATTTATAAATTTCTCCGAATATCCGTTTTCCTTCACGTTGTGTACATCACCTTTGTTTCGTCTTCGTATCTAGAGAGCATATGATCTTGATTCTAAAGTGAAGTGTCTTAATCAGCTTCCTTTTGTATTACAAAGAAACAAAACAAATTTGATGTATTGGCCTGACTAAGTAGTTTTCGTGTTTATGTTTCTTTTTAATGACCCATCTTTTCTCCTTGTAAGTAGAACGTCTAGAACGAGTGTTCTACCTCCAAAATATTAAATTTAATCATCTTATTTTGTGAAGAAAACCAGAGGAATCTGAATTTTTAGTCTTCATTTTCAATTATGTTTAGGAATTTAATTTTAAGGTAGTTATATAAAGTATTTCAAACCATTTTTTTTCTAGACAAACTAAATAAGATTTTGACATTACGTTTTCCAATTTAAGAAATTTTGATGTGAATTTAATCATACACTGATTTCATCTGGAAAAAATAATAACCTTAATTTTAAATGTACTGGTCATTTGTTAAGTTGTAAACATATGACATAACAATAGGTGTGCTCTGAAGATTTTGTACATTGGATCTAGTCCAACACCTTTCATGTAATGTCAGTTTGTGACGAATAGTGACATGGAATCTAAAAATCTCTACTAACCCTCTATATCTTAAATAATAAACAGAGATGGATAGTGGCTAGGAGTAGAATCAATGATTTAGGTTTCGACCTATTTTGGACTCGTGTACCAGCATCCCAAAGTTGATATTCACGGTGGGACTCGAATATAATGCCATTCGTTCTAATTGCCAGCTAACAGGATACCAACTTCTGTCATAATTGAAATATCAAGGTACAGCACGCCTATATCCTAACGAAGACTGATCGAATTTCAGTTAAAAATATCAACACGGGTAATGAACTAGAGTTTTTCCAAAAAAACGCAACATTTATTCTAGATATATTGATGAATGAGATACATAAAGTGTACAAAATTATTCTATTTAACGAAATAAACTGACGTCTTAAAGCAAAATAATGTTGTTTTTATAAACATTCGGGTTTAAACTATCAAAATTATCAACACTATTCGGATTTAATCTCATTGATTGTTGGGGACGATAGATCCCCAAAAACTCATAGTTTGTAATTTATCTTGTGGAGCTTGTATGCACATGTATACGTAGGCATTTCTTACCACCCACGCACATAGTTGATTGACGAATTTATCGATTAAATGTTTAAATATTTCGATGGCAGTCAATTGACGAACTATGGATTAAATGTTTAAAAGCTCCATGACAATATCGATGTATATATATTTGTATATATACGTTTTAAAATTGTCTTTGTAAAAAGTTTGCTGGTTTTCTGGTTGTTACAGAATATACTTTCATTATAAGCTTGGTCTTCTCACTCCAGATATGGGGCTGGGACGCGTCAGTAGATAGCTTACTGAACCTTGGTCACCGAATCCTCAATCTCGTTCTCAAACTACGTGAACCCGTGATAGCTCTCTCTCTTTCAAAACCTAACATTGATCCAATTAAGTCATTACAAACCTTATGGTGTACAAACTCCATACAAATGATAAACGATGTTAGTTTGTTTTGTTTTTTTTTCTTGAGAATTTATGTGACTTGGGGCGGCCAAACCAAAACGTGACATCAGTGCTTGAAGTCACTAACTTCCGGTCTGAGCCATGTTGGTAGATGCAGACTACCCGGTAGGGGTCTGCGTGACTGTCGTAACCAATGGTTGGAGACTCTTGGTGACATGTCTCAGCATCAATCACAATGGCGTAGGTGTGTACACTCTCTAACTTCCCTTAAACTAAGAGATTGAAATCGCTTCATATCTTTCTTTATACGAACTAATTCTTTCTTCCTGTACTATGTCCTTATATGCAATCCTTTGTTTATATATTCCGACCACTGAATTAACTACTTCAATAAATCCAGTTTTCATCTTGTTGTGCTAATGAGGTATGGCAACTTGGACCGATGCATATATGTGCCTGGTCCTACGTTGTAGCTGACTGACGTGACTATACAAAAATATTGTCAATGTTTTATATCAATGAATGTGCAACAAATCACTTTCATTATTAACTATGTATGTATAAATACAATCGACTACAGAATTGGATTTTGAAGATATTAATTAATAACCGTTGAACGTTGGGGTTGGGAATAAGATTTAATGTTTTCATCACGAGCTTACATAAGGTATAATACCAAAATGGTATTTAGTCAAATAAGTGAATGAATTTTGCACGAAAATCTCAGACCTGCTATCTTAAATTTGATTGGTTCGTCCATAATTTAATCTAGCCATCATCTCAACATGGGAACTGAAATTTTCAATAAACATATCAAGTTGTTACAAAAAATCATGTTGAACTACAGGGTGTAAAAAATATCTCTGGCTTGAAACCTGTAAGCAGTACACACTTTCAACACAACAAGAGGTTGAAATCGTAACATTGAAATCTTATTGTTAAGCATAATATGATGCAAACCCATTAGTTGCTTGCTTATCTACATTTTTTTATCCCTGGAACAGAATAACTATTTAGGGCTTCACAGTTTACAATGATTTTCTAGCAGTCGAGATTTGGTTCGAGACCTAATAAATGTTATCATTTCATGATGGAATAATCTTAATTATACGTATTGTGGTTAAGAGGACTTTACCAATTCACTTTTCCATCTAACAGATTTTTCCTCTATTTTTCATTGTTCTTTCTTTTCTAACAGAAATTCGTTCGTTATTACTCTAAACTTCGTCAATGTGACAATCATATAAATGAATCAGAAAGATCCCATAACACTGTCCAAAACCATGTTAATACTAATACTAATGTTAATAATAATAACAGTGATAGCAATACTGAAAGAACAATTCCTACTCTTTTGACACCACCGAAAGACTCAGAAGAAAGCCAACAAATATTAGATCGTTATAGTCCACAAATTAGCAAAAGTGAATTTGATGAAAATGATTGGAATGTGGAACAACCGGCTGAAAAATTATTAAATTCATCTTTCAATAAAGAACTATCATTACCATCAACAATGGCCACTACGAATACTCGTATAACTGACCAGTTGGTAACTGGCAAAGTAAATGATGGCAATAAAGAACACTTAGTAAAGAAATACCGTTCTGTACAGACTAGTGGTTGGTATATATTTCGAAATTGTTTTGGTCTATGTTGTTTTAAACCAGTAAGTTGTTCAACATCCTCCTGTTTAATAGTTCATTATTTTCTTATTAAGTGTCTAATTTAGAGAATATTTTAAACCAAGAAAATGAACCCACAATCTTTGGGTTGTCGAAAGAATCATGATTGAAATCCACCGGTCAGATTTTTTGCCACAAAGTCAGATATTTTTCTCGGATTCAGTCACTAGCATGTACGAAGTCATTATTAGGATTCAAAAATACACTTAATGAACTGACCTTAACCAGTTAACCATTCAGTAAGTGTCTTGTTCTAGTATGCAGCAACAATGAACTATTCAATCCTTTTTTCAATAGTTGTTTAGCTAATGCCAATCTCAAATATATATACTTTCGTCAAATATTTATTTGTCAATACTTAGCAAAATTTTAGACAGTTACTTCCATAGTGTATTTCATCAGCCTAACTTATAGCCGTAATTTCGTCATAGAAAACAATTGACAAAAAAACAGCCATCTGCTCTCAAAATGTTTTTGTTAATGACAAAAACATTCCATTTTTCTAGACAAAATATAAATTTCATTACGCAAGTTAATCCACATTTGAATATGTGAAAACAAAAGACAACATAGAACCAACGACTGTTCAAATAGTTTGGTTAGTTTTATTGATTATCATTTATAAAACCAAAGTTGAAATCAACTTAACTATGAAATGATTTCCTTTTTGGACCGATAAGAAAAATGTCATAATACTGAAGTTCACTCAATCGTTAAGTATTCTGAAGCGAAATGACTCGGAAATTATTATTTCAAGAAATAACTTCGGCAAAACTATAATTTATGGACGAACCAATCATATTTCAAATAATTAGTGTTGGATTTGGGCACAAAATTCACTCATCTATATAGTGAAATAGCATTTTGGTACTATGGCCGATGCCACTTTGTGATAAGAACCCTAAATCTTATTTCTAACCCTAATTTCCAGCTGTTACTTCTAATTCTGAATCCTTGCACTAATTTGTAGTCCTCATTTAATTCCCGTACGTAGTTAGAATTTCCAAGGTCAATGTAGCATTCCTTAAAGGTCGTCTATAGATTGTAGTCTCACCATAACTTCTACTGTTTTGTAAATTTTAAAAAGAACACACTGAAAGCTATTCCACATATTATCATATTACGGTCAGTTATAAACTAAATAGGAGTTGGCACGAATGTGTTCTGATGCAAGTTGCTCACTACCTCAACGCAATCATTTGAAGTTGTTAAGATTCACAGGTAGTTGAAGCAATAGTAGGTTAGAGAAAATGTTTCAAATGGAAGAAAGGGCTTTGTGGAATATGTAGTTTAAAACTGAGATGTCAAAGAATGTAATATGTAGTTGATCAATGAACGAAGATGGACATTCAGTCATTATAAATATAAGAGACTATTTTAAATGTGAAACTGATTTCGCTCAGTATAAACTGCTTTGTGTCAATTAAGTGTCATTCTGGTGTAATCTGGTTTTAGGTTATTAAAGAAGTAATTGAATTAATTTTTTCACCTGGGATCGTGATCTAGTTTCGAATGTAGTAACCTACTGATCTAGTATAGATCGTCTCTTCCATCACAACAGGAATACTATTAAAATTCAATATATAGATGAAGATAAGGAATGCTTCTACACCAATATAAAACATTAAATGAGTAGACCGCACCTTCCATTGTCACTCCAACACCCTATAACTTTAAAATGAAATAGCCACAGGTAGTTCGAGTTCGAAAGAGTCGAACTTACTTTCTGAATTCTTTCAGAGGTTTCATCAACCACCTACACCACAACAGTGATGGAGTGTCCAAGCTACTTCAAATGATCAACGCCCTCATTTGTTTAGCTCTATATTCTGAAAATCTACACAGATCATTTTAGAAGTAAAGATTTACACAAAATCAAATGTATCGCAAGTACTCTTGGATTATTATCTAAATCATCAGAAATATTGAGATTTCTCGATGTGTTCACCAAATAGTTTGGTTCACGGGACTCGGTATCAATGCTGATCATTCCTTAGCTTAATAGTAGTACATGAACATTGTCTACTCGAAATGTTATCATACTTAAGATACCTTAGATTTTAAATTATTGATCACAATACTACTCAACTCCATCATTGATTCCTATTTGAAACAAGACTTCAAAACAGTCTCTTGATGTTATTCTCTATATTGAGCATCATCAGATTAAAGAACTTATCCAAGCATTGTAATGAATTTTGATGGACACTTCCTAACATATTCTGTTGAAAATCGTACGCGTAACTTCGTACAGTCAAATAATTATTTCAATACAAAACGACACATAACAAACTGTACTTAAACTTAATTATGTCGATCTTTTTCGACTAAAATCATTTAGCGGCATATTTATTGTCAAGAAGCAGTACGTTTCTTTTTCAGATCATATCATTCTGTATTTTTACTTAAGACAATCAAACAAGGAATTATCTTCTGTCATCTGATCTATTTTTGTATATTGCTTTGACGATTTTCTGGTTGACATTTAATAGAAAGTATATACAAAGGAGCGTACATATCAATGTACTATTCAAATAAATCATCTGAATAGTGTCCAAAATTTAACGTGTAGACAACATTAAATTGTATACATAGTTAAATAGCCTAACAATATGTTAATATGTGTGTGTACGTATATATGTATGTATGTTATCATTAGTCTTTAATTCAGACTGTCAGTCAAATGAAAATTGACTTAGTCGTTTCTATTTACTTTTTAATTAAGTGAAATGTTAGCTTTACAACATCGCTCAATATTTAAAGGTTACTGTTCATTCCATACTTATCAATGTTTAAGAAATTTCAATAACTTTTTTTTCTGTATCAAACATTCTGCATCATTTACAGGGAACCTATTGCATCAGTCATTGTTAATTTAATTTTCGTTTGATATTACATTAGTACACCGATACAAATAAATCCATAGTTTAAATCATATAGATATTATACTTTGTTCATTAGGCATTTACACAATTTGTCGATCATTAAATGTGTGATTAAACAAACAGATTAATTTACTGTTACGATTATTAGATTACTTATAGATGATTGTTGAGGTATCGGGAACAAACATTTACGTTTTTTTCATTTTTATAATCTATCGAAATGTTATAATGATAATGATAATATTTCAAATAATTCCGACATTTCTCTCGATAAGCTTGTCTATACTTCAGTGGGAAAAATCTGATACAATAGGAGAATAAAAGTATTTTCTATTTGTTATGATACACTACTATAATACGGTAATATAATCAGTGACCGAAATTGTATTGCTGTTAAACTTTACCACATTGTATTAAATACACTATTCAAGATTAATTACAGAAACATTAATGAATAAACTAGAAAATATTTCATTCAACACAATGACAAACAGTTTGCATTCAATGAGTCTAGAGTAAATATCGGTAAAAGGAAAAACATTACAAAATAAATAGTTAGTAAGCCGTGTATATCAGTGCAGGTTCAATGACCAATCACATTTACATTCACTAGCTATATACCACATACATTATGAAATGATATGAATTCATTTCATTTTTTTGTACCCTTAGTCTTCCACAGATTTGGATGAATAAATTAAATGTTTCACAATTGTGTATAAAATACACAAAATTATTTATATGTTGGTAACATTTTCATTGTACATTATTTTCATTTTTAATTTATGTTTGATAAAAGTAATTCTATTATGATGATTACTTTTATTTTCCCTATACTACTATCAATTTTTTTAAAATTTTGTTTATCAAAATCATAGTAATTTGTACTTGTTTATTGCAGTCGATTACGTCATATTCTGTCTCTCACTGTCTCTCTCACACACACTCTCGTTTATTTCGTTCGTCTATAAATTGAACTTGTATGAATATAGAATGTAATTATAATTATTCATTACAAAATTGAGTTTGTAAAACAATTTGTTTATTCATACAAACCACTATGTATGTGGAAGACTTAAAGTACACAAAATAGAATGAATCCACTTCTTTCTACAGTACTTGTTGTTCTTTCTTTATTAAGGAAAATAATTTCATAGAATATATTTGGTTGGTTAAAGTTCATTTAAGTCATCAATGCATTCACATCGAAAGAATATAGTTGTACGAAAGTTTTTAAAATTAAGATGAAGACTGTTTTGTGATATTTTATCTATAGCAAACTAAAAGATCAGTAGAAAACTCCATTTTTCATCGTTATTTTTTCTTTAGAAAACCATGTCAGTGTTTCGTTCCCAGAGAATACCATCGTTAGAACATAGGATAATGTATTGTAAAAAAAAGCTGGATTAATTATTATTGTTGCTTGTAATTATGAATACAGTTTAAATTAAAATATGATCAAGTTCCATTTCAATGATCTCAAAAGTTTGTATTAATTTTAATGAAGAAAGAAGAAGAAAAAGACCTAGCAAACTTGTCAATAATTTGTATTATGAATTATGTCTCCAGACATTTCAATTACCATGATGTAAATGTTGATTTTTTTTCCTCATCCAGCTCCATTTGATTAATCACCATTGTGTTTGAGTTATTTTTTATCTACATATAGGTTCAATAATATTTTTCATTATGAGGTTTCATTAAGAAATTGTGTATAAACTAAAGTAATCGGTATTTTAAGATACTCTCATTTTTCAACAAGTATTCATTGGAAGATCTTAGCACAACTTACATATGTGAATAGTTCTTCGGAAACAACAGTGTTTGAATATTCATCGCCTTCGAATATTTCGAGACTTTATAAAATAGATTTTACAAGCAGTAGACTTCAGATTAAACTCGAAATTTTATATCAACCCAGCCTTCACAAAAAAGACTGACCTCATCTCTCACCGTCACTAGCAACTACACAGTTTTCAGAATAGGGTTGTGGAGATTGTTGAATTTCATTGAAATCACGAACCTATCTAACTCAGACTACGATTAAAAACTGGGAAATACCATTCACTGCTTAAAAGCCACATAAAAGAATGAATAGGTCATCCAGTTCTTCCAGGTTTTCAACGGTGTAATTTAGATTGGTTCATGAATTCAATGAAATCGCTCAATTTCCAAATACTTCAACCCATTTGTATCTAATAATTCGCCACTGAATTTGCTTGTTAGTCTAGTAGAGATAAGTTGCATTTTGACACAATTGTATTCTCATGTTTCATCGTAGTAGAAAAAAAGAAAATTTTATGTTTACTGTTTATTAGATAACGATGAATGTTCATGAATATAAATCTCCATGTCCACATCTTCCAGCACTTTATAATTTTTCCTAACTGTTATAAATAGCAAAATATCAAGCGCCTCCACTTTTTATTTTTGATCATATAAAGCCGAGTGGTAAACAACGCTGTTTAGACTATTGGTCAAAATATAGTTTAACTATGAAAGAATGTTGGATCCAGTGTGCAAACATTTGGTGTGTATTCTTTTGTACACTATCCATATTTCCGGCAGTTCAGTCACGTGTTAGACCAATAAATCCAGAATATTTCATTCCACGTACGTTGTCAGTTTTTATAACTCATTCATTAGATACATGTGTATTTATCTAATATTTTAGTTATATTATGAAGACCTAAATTTTAAACTACTTTTATCTATTAATAGTAGTACGATGTAATCTTGTTGCATGTACATAAATATGTTATAAGGGTTTTACTTAGAAGTTTTTACGTATTTGTGTTTTTTCATAAGCTTACCCTATAGAACAAGGGAAATTGTACATTATATCTTTTAGCTATTAGAAATATTGCCCAATCCATGTATTCAAATAGCTGTAAAAACGAATAGGACTCCTTACTGACTTCCTTCAATCAACGAAGATCTAATCCAATACTAACAACTAAAGAGCACCATAAAGTTGTATTGTCCTAATTTGTCTATGAACCCTTAGTACTGCACATCAATCGTTTTATGCACGAAATTATTTAAAGATTATAATAGCTGATTACAGTTTAACATTACGAAAACTAGTTTTAAAAAAACGACCACAACAGACTTCACTAGGGAATTAGGGCCAAGGATTTATGCACACAGAGTTCGGATTTGAAAAAATGGATCACCAATGCTTCGGCAGCGCATACATTTCTTTATGAATTCTCTTTATATTATTCAATGACACAATCGGTTACTTTGGTTTAACTTTATTCACCATCTTCCCGCTAATAATTGTGTTTTTGAATAAAGACTAACAAATTACTTATAAGAAAGACAGATAGTAATAATTATTATTATTATTTCTAATATATTCATATTTGTTAGACATTTAACTTTTTATAATATTTGATTGAAGTGATTTATTTCATTTTACAATATTGTTTCAGCTCTCTGGTTTGTTGATGTAACTTGCTTCTTATTTTTCAATGTGTTTGCAATGTTGGGATGTATTCTATGTAACTGGCTACAATTTGTAAGTTAATTAACTTTACTACATTATTTTCACCACTTTTATCTATGTTACTTATATGTAGTAAATATGAGATTAAGTAATGTGATATATTCATCATTCTGTTTAAATTATTTCCTTAAGTATTTTAGAAAATGTAATTTTTCAACATTTCTTAACCTTTCGAAACATATTCTCTTTAATGATTGGTTCAAGATACTGTGATTTTAATCTTATCATCTTTAAAAACAAATTCCTATTTGTATTTCAAACAAATAACAGTATGACTTTATCATGATTTCATTCTTCAATTCGTTTTATTCCACATGAGTTAACAGTGCTATCAGAAGAATTGATCGAAGTTGTTTCTACTGGATAAACTATAAACAAAACTTATTTAATTTGTAGGATCAATTTAATCGTATGAACTGTTATTACATATACTGCGGATTATAGAGTATTACATCACAAGATGCAATTTACCATTATTCTCATAAGAATTTCAATGTTGGTATGTTTATACCATAAATTCAAGTCTACACCTCAATTTAGAAAGTCCATACGACACTATGACAAAACCCTGTGTCACAGAGCAGACGAATTTATAACCATTTTTTTAAAAGAATCACAATTTGTTGAAAGAACATTTGTAAATAATTAATTTCTTAAAATTTTCACACGAAACTTGAGAAATTTTTAAAGGTCAGTGATAATTAATAACTAAGAGAATCAATAGCTTATCAGACAAAAATTATATTAATTTCAAGAAAAACGTAGGTAGTAATTAGAGATAAATGAGCGAACTCCCGTTAAACTTATTCAGTTCGAACTACAATTAGTGTTCACGACACAAAAGATGATCAAGTTGGATGATGCAATGAGACGACGAAATTAATCAAATTAAGGCAATGAATTTCGAACAGTCCAATTATATATATACTTGACATACAATTCCCATTTAAACATGAAAAGCACAAAGTTTAGCGAAGGAATCTCTTTTCAACGAATTCGCTATCAAGTTGTACAATCGTATATATTTGAAATTTTTTTGTTAATGTATTGGTTCCGTGAGAACATATGAACAAGGAATCAAAATGATGATGTAACAGAACTATAATACATTACGTGACATGAATAATAATAATAATAATAATAATAATAATAATAAAATAGAATGTGTGTGTGCAAATAGAAAACCTTGTAAAATTAATAAGTTAGTAACGGAGTCTAACGTGAATGAAGTACGATGATTAAGTTGTTTTTGTTACAATAATTAAAGGTGATAAAGGGGTTAGAAGGAAATGACGTGATATCAGAAACAATTATGAATAAAGTCATGAGGATATGAGACATAAGTAAAAAGACGGGGAATATTTTCAAACACGAAATGAAAGAAATAACAACAATAATAATAATAGTCTAAGGCCAAGGTAACAATAAGACCTACTTCTTTACCAGCCACACTTCTAGCTTCAACTCATAAATGGCAAGAGCTTCTGCCGTTTTAAGGAGTTGAATACGATGAAATCTAGGTAGATTTGGATGAATTTTATAAACAAGCTTAAAATCAATCTGTGGATCGGTAGAGTGGTTGATTCGACTCCATTTCAAGAATAGAACTCCTAACTGCTTTCCTCTCACCCTTATAGGACCACACTTGGAAATGTTCTGGTATCCCAGTTAAAATCAGGTGCTGGCTACGACCTAACGACCTTGCTCCACAAGAGCAGGTGATCTGGTAGATGCACATGCACTTACTGTATTGAAGTCATCATTAATGCAGTGTTCTACGGTAAAGATGTTGGAATCATATAACTGTGAATATCATATGAATTGATTTGTAAACTAAATCACAATTACGATAACTACATTATTCGAAAATAAAAAAGATCTTGAGTGCTATGAAATACTTTTGCGACTAGTTGTAATTATCTGATTGTTGAAACCTTATACACTGCAAAAATTTCAAGAACTCGTCGTTATTCTATAAATCTTTTCCGAAATGTAAAAAACGGAAAGTTTTTTAGTTCATTTTTTTGTCTGTTCCCTTTAGATTCTGAGTTCAAAAACTACTTCATAACCTTTGTTTCTGTGAATTGAATCACATACTCTATTTCTCGTTTTTAAGTATGGGTCATAATATTAATACTACTACGTTAATATTCACCTTGTTCATATTATCTCTCTGTGATGATACGGTTGCACATACGATACACATCTGTACTAAGCCCTAACTTCCTTATTATGACCTTGAGAGTGTATTTTTTTATTAGAATTTGGTGTTATTATTGTCGCCATTATAACTTTATGCTTCTTCATCATCACAGAAGTCCAAGTCAAATCATTAAGATTATCAAGTATGCTACAAAATGTAATTTCATCAATGTGAACCTTCGAAAAAAGCCTTGAATTGAATACATTTTAGTTTCTTTGTTTACTATTTCCTTTGTCTTAAACAGCCAGGACCGCGTTATCTATGGATTCCTGTATTTTTACGTACTATTATCTTCGTTCCATTCTTTTTATCTTGTAATTTCGGGATTGAAAATCCTCATCGATCTGTTCTAATTACAAATGATCATATATATGTATTAGGTTGTATTTTATTTGCATTCAGTAATGGACATCTTGCATCACTCGGTTTAATGTATGCACCAAGGTAAGTTAATATTATGTTGACGCTTCTTTAGTGCTAATAATCTTCATTAAATTATTCGATTACGGTCACAGTACTCTGGTGTGGTGGGGGTTGTGAGATTCCGCTGTCTCATAAGGTCATGTGATTAAGACCTCACCATGGAAGTCTTATTTATTACCGTCAAGTGGCGAGGGTGTATTTTTATAAGTGAGAGATCAAAAGAGTGACTACAGAAATCACCTTTTGTTTTGACGACCAGGTAGTATCCCGACCCCCACATAAATGTCAATAATTATGAACACAGACCTCTGTCCTATCCACTTAACTACCTACTAAAACATTACTCATATGACCCTATTACAAATGAAGTTGTTTTACTCTACTTAAAATTTCTATTTTGTTTTATTCCCATTTTTGTGTACTTTCATTCTCTTACTCAGTAACTCGTGTCTATTGAGAGTTATGCGCTATCTAAACGATCTCAAATCGCTGATTTTATGAATGCTGCTAGCGAATAAGAATCTGTATATAGATTTTCTAAAGCCATATGTATGGTGTAAAGTCGCTCCTTTCAGTGTCCAATAGATGTTGTAGTGATAGCCAGGAGTTGAAAAGCACAGATCGGGATTCCTGCCAATAGGGACTTAGTGGTCGAAGGTCAAATGACGTTATCGGCTCCAACACCTTTGTAAATATTATTAACAGTTTCTGGGCTGCACCAACTTCCCTCACATTCACGACCAACGAGCTACTTAGTGTCTTGCCTCTGTAACTCAAGACAGGGCTCACACTACGATGAGCTATCGTTAGCATGTATATGAACAAGACTTTAACTCCTTTTAGAGTACACATTTAGGTACTGCTTCAACTCACCTGAGTCACTGAAATTAAGTCTATTGCCAGTGAAACAATCTATGAAGTGACGGCGTATAAATTATTAACATCCAAACGCGTCTTGGATGATGGGCTAATTTTTGCGAGGAACAGTTTAGCTAGTCTGTTGTTCCAGCAACCTTAATTGAACTATCCCATTCCTCCTAGACGATGTCTTCTGATCCACCTAAAGAAGAGAAGAACAATAAATTATGAAGCACCACAAGTCAACAAGCCCAGATGACCTAGTCCCTTCCCTTTCTAAGAATGATCGCGAGATTCTATTCAGTGAGTTGACTGTGTTGTTTAGAATGGTCATCATTCATGTCTAAAAATGGTTTACATAATTTATAAACAACCATCGAAGGATTCCTACTTGAAATACATCCAAACTATTGGCTTGCGTCATATTTCACAAATTGTCCGGAACTCATGAAAGACTGAAACACATTTGTGTTAATTAATATAACAGAAGATAAATTGAGGATTATAAAAAAATATGAACACGTGTAATCAAGGTTCTAGTACTTTGCGAGGCAACACAAGTTAGTTCAATTGAAACTTTATAAATGAATCTTACATCCGAACCCTAACCCTTGCAGCACTGTAGTGATTATTTCTAGGCTTTTATTATCAATGAATCCTTAGCTTGTACAATACTGAATCGATTTTATACCATACTTAAATAAAACGCAACTTATTTTACTTTTCAGATGTTGTTCACCTGATCGAGCTCCATTAGCTGGAATGTTTGGTGCATTTTTTTTAATTCTTGGAGTATTCACTGGAGTTTACGCTTCTCGAGGTTTAAATAGTCTTATATATTAATAAATTACTTTTCAAGTCTAAATAGGTCTAATTATAAAAAAACGGTTGTATATGATCGTTGATGCACTATAATAAATATTGTTATGTCAATAGTTATATCTTGTCTTTATTATTACATTGAATTCTTTGGAAAATGAAACAATTATCCAACTATTTAAATACTGACAATTATTTTTAATGGATTATTATAACACAACACCCCTATTGTCATTTTACATAATATTTAAATTTACCACCAAAAAAACTTAACAGCGCCCTTTTTTTACCTGTGACAATTTCTTTAATAATTGTATTACATTTTAAATCATAATAATAAACAACACTGGGGCCATTATTATTGCATTTTCATTTTATTTGTTGTATATTGAATATGTTTTATAACTTTTGATTAATAAAATTATAAATTTTTATTGTAGTTTAACACTTATTAAATTTTAATGAATAAAATACATTGGTGAGCTAATTGAACATGTTCTTTCTTCATACTAAAGTTAATCTAGATGATACAGCAACGATAAGTAACGGAAATGTACATATATATTTAATTTAATATAAATCACATACTATATAGAAGTCTGTTATAACTTTTGTGAACCTGTGTGCCCTGTTTATTGTATAACGCAACGATACCGCCAATCAGAGAGCAGTGACTAAGCGATCGAACCAGTGACGCATAAAACACGTGCGAGCAGTCTTGAGTCCTGCTTCCCGCTTAGCCCAGCCAGTTGAGTCCAGAACACCAATCTCAGCCTCTGCAATTTGAATCACTTATTTCGAGTTTAGTGGGTTTATATATCAACCAGACAGACCACATCGTACCATAAAATATGAAACAACATTTTCACAAGAATTAGCCAAATATGGCTATGAATGTGGGTGGTAGTAATTAATAGACAGGCCAAAACTCAAGAATAGTAAATCGTATAATAATAGTTCATAAGTCAAAATAAAACTCATAATAAGAGGAATACGAATAGTTTAGTTATGTAACAATTATACGATAAAAACATACGTTTAGTATTGGTCCATAAGTGGATCCCAAAGTTACCATTCATTATTCTTATCGGGATATAACAAAGTCAACAAACCACATTTATTACTTCATGGTAAACAAAATATATAAATTCAAACCTTAAATTATAAAAATCAAAGCTTCTAGATCACAAACGATAATCGCAACTAAATAGTTTAGCCATGCTAAATGATATGTAACATAGTCCATTAAGCTGTAAATTCATCTACAATGGCTTTCAATACAGTGTAACGTGGGTATTGATGAGTACATATAATTGCTAATCCACCATAAAATGCATTTTTGGATAAGTATATAAGCGATAATTAGTCACAAATGTCTTGTACATTCATACCCCTTAGATTAGTAACATATTTAGTCACTTGATCTAAATGATAGACTGTAAAGCCTAACCTATGAAATAGCCATAATCTATCATCAAAGTATAGGGGGAAATTCTGTGTTCTAAAAACCACACGACTTGTCTATTCTAATCGAAAATAAATTATGGGAAATTAATGAAATAATTTGCAAAGCACATATTAATTAAAATACACAAAACCGAAATGAAACAACAAAGAAAATAATGAAAGAGAATTATCATGATCATCAATACTATTGAAGTTGAGATGTAATACCTTGTTATGCAAACAAAATGAACTATTAAAACTGGAACAAAACAGAAATATATGTACTATTGTAACATATAATGTAAATCTTGTTTGTTATGCTTCTTTTTAATACTGCAGATTTTATACGTAATAAAAGCTACTGGTATTTAAAAATAGTATCGCTCAATAATGATACTAACATTGATAATGATAGTATTTTAATGAATTATGACGTAGTTGCAAACAAAAACAAAAAATAGGATAGTTTACCAAAAAACGTAACGAACAAGAGAAACGACAATATACACTCATTTAATAATGTGTTAAATGAATATAAGATTTAAAAAATTTGTAGCATCACATTTGATTGAGTAGTAACACACATGCAGGATGTTCATTGACGTTTTGCATAGCCTTAATTTCATCGTTTTCGTACAGCACTATTCAAAACAGAATGTATTCAATTTTTTTTAAAAGGCAATTAGAAAAACAAACTATATAAAATACTTGGAATAAAATAATTCACACTTTAAAACAATGGTCTTTTATTTCCAGTGCATGTACAAGAAATAACAACTAAGGCTGAGAAAGAAAATACATTACACAATTAACATAGATCTAGTAAGTTTTTCTACACTATGAACACATAGTAGCAGAACATAAAGGGAATTATTAAGGCAAATCCACAGCTGAGAAGACTGTTGTACAGTTATTATTTTTTTTATTCAACCATACAAAATATGAATTCCATGAGGGAAAATAACAACCAAGTTGTAATACAATGGTAACAACAAATGCGTACAATTTTAAGCTTGCATTGATTAGATCAACAAGTCACGAAGAGTTCGTGTATACTATTATAGTAATAAACAAAAAGAAAAACAGAATTAGCACAAAAAATGAAAGTAAACGATTTAACAGTTTTATACATTATTTTGTAGGATTTAAAAGAGACAATGAAATCCAAATTGGGATTTGTTTATATTATTACATTGATGCTGACACATTATATTGATTTAGTAACAAATTAACCAAATCATTTAACAAGAAGGAGAATAGTACATGTCTTCTTAATTATTCTTACTTTCTGTATGAGAATAAATAAGTAAACAAACACAAAAGTTTATTTGAATTTCTATTTAAATGAAAGTGAAATTGACAATTTACTGTGATTGAGGGTAACATAGACTAATATAGTGTGAACAACAAATAAATGAGGTGACTATTTTTCTGAATTAATTACATGAAAACAAATGAGAAATTGGAAAAAAGTACTAGACAAAGGAATAGTTATTGGACAGATAGTTATATCCCTTTTCTTCTCTATGACCCTAAGTTTGTTTTTTCATTAGTTTTTTCGTCAATGTTTTCATCTAATCGTTCTACCAATTGGATGGATTTAATTTTAATTTGTATAATTTTAATTTAAAGCCCAATGACTCAGATAGTAAAGTGGATACACAAGAAAGTAAAACTAATTTAAATATATTATACACTAATGGATTCAATGTCCAACCACAAACACGAAATGGACCATCAACTTCTTTTAGTAGACCTTCAACTAAACGTAGAACTTGAAATGTAAGCATTAAATCTTCTTTCTTATGTGGTTTACTCTCCATACTTAAATATAAATTAATCTAAAAAATAATAACAAAAAATAAATAGTAATATTTATCAATGACAATGAAAAAGAATATCATCAACAAGTAAAATGCAAGACTAGATGAAATGACAACTTTATCAAGTATCTTAGCTTGATGACTTAGTGGTTTATTCAATTAGATTTCAGTAAAATGATGCGCTTAACATGGGTTACACTCAAGTTTGAGTAGCAAATTAACAATAGCTCGAATAGTTTTACAATAAGTGTCTTCGATCACTGAATTGTACTTTATTGCATTTCTAAATTAGCAAAATTCGATAACAATATAATAACAAAATAACTATCATTAAGTTTTTACCATACAAAGTCAACGAACAAATCGTATTGTTTCAAAAATATGCGAGGTTATCCACTCTTTTTTAAGTGTTCAAAAAGATTGCTATCTTTAACATTTTTTCCGAATACTCAATGTGTCAGTGTTGCATATAAAAGTGTAAGTTTCACTGGAGACATTTTAATCATCTAAAGCTATCTATATGGGGTGCATGCTACTTATGTCGACAGATATTAAGTAGTATGTAAAACCAATCGGTATTGGAAAACCTGTCAGGAGACGTCTACGAAAATCCAGTTGAAGACAATAGAAAGGAATTGTGAATTGGAAGAATCATACAGAATGTGAAGGACAAATGGTGAAAATTCGCAAATAAAATATTTTACCAAGAAATTCTGTAATTTCATATTAAACAATACATTGGTTGTCCCACCTGACCTATCGTTCATTACATACATACGTCTTTTATGAACAATCACTGTTGTACATTTGAACTCGTCGGATGAAAAAAGTAAATAAAGTCAGAGTTTTTAATGAAATCCTGAGTGAAAATTATCCTCTTACGTGTAGCACTCATTAAATAAATGAATGGGAAAATATCTAAAAATGCTTCATAATGTACATATTTTAAACATTGAGAAACGGACACATAACATAGATGAAAAGTGGGTGATGTGAGTGTGTAATGCTTGTTATGCCCCGATAAGAATAATGAGTGGTAATTTTTGGGATCCATTTATGGACCAATACTACACGTATAATTTTATCGTATAATTGTTAATTAACTAAACTATTCATATTCATGTCTCTCTTATCATAAGCTTTATTTCAACCTATGAACTGTTATTATACGATTTACCATTCTTGAATTATTCCCTGTTAATTAATCACTGCCTCCCTCATTTACAGCCACTTTTGGCCAAATTTTATACAAATGTTATTTTCTATTTTATGCTATGTTGTGGTCTGCTTGTTTGGTATACAAACCAAGTATGTTTGAAATACATGATTCATATTGCAGAGGCGGAGATTGGTGTTCTGGACTTGAAAGGCTGGGCTAAACAGGAAGCGAAACTAATCAGGACTCTAGGCTGCTCATGCAGGTTTTACGCGTCATTGATTCGATCGATAATTCACTGCTCTCTAATCGGCGGTCACAATTTATAAAAATGCTTTTATCACTAACCAGTATTTTCTGTTGAACTACATTCTTATTTTAAAAATTCGAGACTTAACAAAATTTTACACTTATATTAGTGGGAATGACAAGAATACGTTACGCATATTTAGCATTCAGGTTCTAAGTGATTGGACTAAGATATGACATTAGTGGATAAACTCACTGTTATTCTAATCAATATAAGAATAAACAAAATTCTGTGGCGTCCATAAGATATTTGCAGGCCTTACTTGTTATGGCTCAAAATCGATCATATTATCATGCACATATATTATTTATCAGTCTCTTTGTGATTACTTCTTCCATTCACGTTGATACCTTTACAATTATAGTGGATTGATTGAAACTAAAACCGTTAGACCTCGGTCCAGTTATCTGGTGGTCAGATGTTGGTGTGCGGAACCGAAGGTCCCAGGTTCGAGTCCCGTGCGGGGCATCATGGATGCGCTCTACTAAAAAGTACCACATCAGGACGAGACGGAATTCTAGTGCTTACAGGTTTTCGATAGTGATCTAACACTGAACGGTTTATGATTTTAATGGAATTCAATAAATTTCCACAACCCCAAACTGAAAATATTGTTGTACATCATTTCTATTAAACTGTTTGTTTAGTCTCTCATAGAAAAAATGAAAATCGCAAAACTTTGTTTTCGTATAACATAACAGAAATATGACAAGTGAGTTTACTGAACTACAATGTAAACCAAACAGTAGTACACTAGTATTCTTGATATTGAAAAACTGGTATTTTTCAACTCCATGCAAACGATAACTACAACGTAAGACAAGAGAGATAACTCACAACTGTCTGTTGCATAGTAGATGCAACAAAAGTCACAAAAATAAAATCTCGTTGTCTTTGTTAATTTCAGCAATCAAATAATAGTTGTTTTTGTAAGAAAACAGAACTTACAACCAATAGAAAAATTTCGTAATTGATTCTCTTACAACATTGAATTTGACTTCTATCATACCATATGTTCTATAAAGTCCTTTTACAATAATGAACGGAACAGATTTCAAAACGATATAAATTATTTCATCATTCCGTTTATTTTCTTGTATTACAATATAGTATGATTCCAAATTTCTAAATGTATCTATTTTACGTGATATTTCTGCATATTGTTTACTCACATATCAAATATTTCACGAATAGACAAAAAATGTCCAATAACAACTGAATAATTTCGGAAACAATTACCGTCAATAGTGAGATATGATATATTTGTGTTTTTCATAAAACAGACTACATATTCTCATATACCTTCAGGACATTACTTAGGAGGATTACAGTGTGGTCGTTCCTAAAATGTCATGAATTGTACAACATTTTGTGAAAATATTCTACGTTACTTTGTTCGTCTGGAGTTAAAAAAAAGTAATGTTACAAAAGAGTGCAAGAAAATTTACACACAAAAAAATAATTGGAATAGAATAACTAAATGTAGAAAAAAAACTATGCATAAAAAATGAATGATGAACTTACTTGTTCAGTAATAAGTACCGAGAAATTACGGTATTTCTTAGTAATTTTCGTACCAAGTAAAATGTATCGATAAAGAAATACAATGATCCCAAAGGAAAGACCCAAAATATCCCAATTAGTTAAATGAGTGAAAACACTCGTACGACTTTTTGAAAGAAGCTAGAAAGAAGAAAACAGAATATAAAAAGATAAATAAGAGTAATTTATAATTCGATATCAGAATTCCGAAAACAAACGACTTTTAGACTTCCTAATAAAACATTGTTAAGTTGCACAATGATCCGAAAAATCTCCCTCCTCCTTACAACTGTATTTCGAGTAAAAATACTGATATTTATTTGATTATAATGGTTTTTATCTTGTAAAACAAACATCTAAACTACAATGATTTGATCAGTAATTCGGTTGCTCAGATTTAAGTGTTTGAAACAGTGATCGACGTTAATGATCGGTAATAAGCAATTTTATATTATCGTGGATTCTTTATTTTTTTTAACCGTAATAAATTTTTAATTTGTGTTGATTTTTTCTTTAAATATTTGGTTACGTTGATTAAAATAAACAATTTCATGTGGTCAGTTTCTGTGATAAACTTTAGTGATGCAAGAACAAATATTGTAGAACTAAGTGAATTCATTTCATTTCGTGCACTCCACATACGTACTGATTTGTATGAACAAATAAAATGATTTACAAACGTAAACTTGTGTATCATGTATAATGTCACTTAATTTATTAGTGAAGAATAATTATAATTACATTACATGATCATTCAAGTTCAATTTGAACTGATGTACGTACGTACGAAGTTCTACGTTGTTGCTGACTGACTGACAAGTTCAATTTAAAAACGAACAGAACACACGAGAAGAACATTAATATCGGTGGGTTAAGTTGCATAATAAATGATAGGAAAAAAATTAAATGTCCACTAACTTGAGCGCATAAACTAAGACCAAGTGTAAAAACAATATAAAATGCAATTGTCATAATATGCTCAACTGAGCGTTGTGGACCACGTTTTTTCAAATACGACCGAAGCATTAACCAACATTTTATATGACCAACTTTATTTAAATGAAACTGCGGCACACGATATTTTAAAGCACGACGGCCAGATGTTAAAGAAAAGAAATATTTGGCATAGAGCAAACGCTAAATAATGGTAAGAAAAGAATAAAGATCGGTTCATTACAGTATTTATTTAATTTGTGTACAAGTAAAATTAACATTAAAAAAGTAACAGATGATTTACCTCTTGAAATGTACGCTCAGCAATACATAGAAGAAAGAATACAGTGCCGTAAACATTGAATCGTAATATAAATCCAATCAAAATAACCAAACGCCCTCTAGATACAATAATGAAGTAATAAAATCAAGGTCAGTTGACAATTATTATGGACACATTAATACTGGAAAAAACGGTATTTCGGTGATGAAAGAATATCAGATATATAAAACAACCTTATCAACTACAACCTCTAAAATTAAATTACAATGAAAGTAAAAAGAATTATTAGACATGTAAATCTCATTTAAATATCGACGATCAAATAAGTTTAGCGAAAAGTATAGATAAAATGTCAGGTAATAGACAATAAGTAGTTACTACAATCTGTTACTATATATATAAACATTAGCCTAAAACTACTTTTCTTGTGTTTCGCACAAAATGATTAATAAACAACACAAAAAGAAATAATACATTCGTAGCTCCATAAATCTCTAATTTCCCTATCTCCCTTTATCTGATTAATGAAGAAAAGTGAAAAGACGAATACTCCGCACACTATAACAAAAGTGTGTAGCAAACTTATAAAACATTTTTTTAGTTAAAATTCAACTTGGATCGATAGACGAAATGACAACACCGGAGTTTTTGCAGTAATACAAAACTGAATAAATATGTATTGTACTGCAAACAAGAAAGTAAAGTAAAAGAAGAGTAATAAAATTTTTTTGTTTCAAGAAAAATAAGTGAATCCTTTGAGTCAAAAGATTGAACCTAAGCTGCCCCCAAATGCCCTGGTACGGCCGAGAGTGGGGAGAGTCCGCTCTCCCTCTCGAAATGCTCTCACATGGCCATGCGTATATAGCCTCTGCCAGGGAAGTCCTACTCACTGCCTTCTCGTGGCGGGGGTGTTGTTTACAAAAGTGCGAGGACGAAAAGCGAATGTCCGGTACCGGCTTTAACCGGATACCAAACCAATGGTGCACATGGGCTCCAGTATCCTGAAGGAACAAATGGCGTATGAACCAATCGTTGGTCACCGGCTACCATGGGACTGCATCTCCTTACGATGCTCCACTGCCTTGTGGGTCAGACGTTCAGGTCAAAGGCTCGGGGTGTGGCCCTCTAAGAAAACCACCTGCTTCGGTTTGGGCACCCGGGCAGTATCACAGCCCTCACACAAATCAATTGAGATTTGTGTGGCGCATATGTATTTGGTGCCTCCCTGTACCTATACTTATGTGTTAAAATAAATAAATAAATAAATAAATAACTAGTTTCTACCGTTGTGAGAAGAGTTCTTCTAGGAAATTTATACTTCAATCCATTGAACAATAGTTGATGAGTACACGGAAAAGTGCCAGATCTTGATTTGCGATTGATTAGTCATTTTTGCACAACTTAAACCTACCTTACCAACTTAAATATTAAAGTGCTTTGTAATGACTCAACTAATGAATGTCCACTATTATGTGAATTGGTTTAGCCAATTTTAACAAGTAAAAACATTGTGACTCATTGTTTACTCAATGACATAGTCACACACCTGACGTCGCTTGAATAATAATTGTCGTTAAGAAAGTTCATCACATTATAACTTACAGTCGAAAAACAACACAGTAAAGAGAGCTACATAGTTTATTCTTTCTTACAATCACTTAGGGGAAATACCATGTGCCCCCAGATAACGTCGATGGGCGAATGTCAATTAGGCTCTCAGTATCCGTTCCAAATTTACACAGGTAACCAGTTCATGATGAATGGTACGAAGTACTAAAGTGTTTTACACACTCATTCATCTGACTCTGTGTTCTGACAACGGGTGAGAATTCAGGCCAGTCGTAAATTATTCCAAAAGTTTATTACAATAAAAAAACAATGAGAATAACTTACTGTACATCTGGCTTTGAAAACCAATCTATTAAAAATTGACCAGTCACAATATTCCAGAATACGATACAATAAGGTTGCAAACAACAAGAAGTTTGTAAATTCGTATTAATCAATGTATTATGGATTTTTATAGCAACGGTCGAAAATAAATGACCAAGTAAACTTAATATAGCATGTAAGTATAACCCAATAAGAGTGTCTCCAAAAACAGCATTGTTAGTATTGAATGTTCGATTCATTGAATTATTGCCAAAAAATAACAGTGTACCTTTTGTTGTTATAAATAATGATTGATATTGATTACTATTATCATTACTGTTATTATGGTTATTATTATCCAGTATATTTGATGGATTAGTTGAATGAAATATTACAGATATAAATGGTAGTGCAAATGTTGCAACACAAGCGAATATAATGTAATCTGATGAAATACTTTGTCTTTCAACAGCCTGGAATTTATACAACAAAGTAAAATAGTAGTATTAATTTTATTTATTACAATAAAACTGATTAAATAAAATTGAAATTTAACTCAATATTCTTAAAATTTTCAAACAAAGAATCTAAAATGTTAATTTAGAGCTACTGCCTATCCACAATGACATGCACTGAAGATGCGTTTGGTTGCTTAGTTGTTTACCAAGCCCTATTGAGTTTACACTTTTAATGTAATCTCCATCTTGTTGTGCTAATGCGGTATGGTAACTTAGACCGATGCATATACGTGCCTGGTCCTACGTTGCAGCTGACTGACTGTATCGTTAATAACATTACTCTGGTTTGAAAAATAACCACTGATAAAATCTAAACATTTTTCACAGTATTGTTTTATAGTATATGGAAAGCGTCTTACAAGAATGAGTAAATTTAAGGTGGTTCGACAGGAGACCCTGTCGATAACCACCACCTCACATTTAAACATAGTGCAAATGATGTCAAGACATCTAGACTAATCGCCACACTGCAACTTGATTGATAAAATCTGATCTGCACTAAAGACTTGACAAACATGCATAAGCAGCGGTCTGCTTGAATAGCTAGGTTACTTGTTTTTACCATCTAGATATTTCAGCAAATTACTTTTTTGTTTGTTTTAAAAATGTTGTGTCTATTAACCACTCAACCTATTCAGACGCATTTATGAAACCTACAAAAAAGTACGATCACAGACATCGTGATGACTGGCGAAATCCCTTGAAAAACTAAACATTAATCAGATGTCCACTCCAGAACTTTTAGATCCTAACTGCCAATCACCGATTGGCAGGGTGGACCATCTTTGATTCTTACTAAATCAAAACATGTATCGTAATAGTAGTGCAACCACAGCTCAAGAATCTTGGCTAAATGATTTACAACACGATCGCTTAGGATCATTACAAGAGTTTAATATTTATCGTCAGGATCGATCAAGAAATGAAAAAATGTGTGGCGGCGGTTCAGCCACATTTGTAGAATTATAGAAACTCTCCTAAAATCAATCTCGATTATGGTTAACTATTGTCAAGCCATTTTACTAACTTATTTAACAGACAGTATTATTCGAACAGTAACAATTCGTCTATTTCTTTGCATTATTATGATCACTATCATGTATGTATAAACGTGTACGCTTGATAACAGGTAACAGCCTACGCACATCTCTTTCTAGCTAAAATGCTAATACCATAAATATTGCCCAATGAGTCGTTCTCTTTACCATGTATATATGTGCTCAAATGTAATTGATAGCCTTTACGTTGCCTTGCTGTGCCCTTATGCAATTTGACCATAAATTCGCCTCTGTATTTGCTCGCATACACACATTTGCCTCTCTGGTTCAAACTCGCTCGATGTACTTGCAGATTTGTTATCTGTGCTATCCGCTAATAAAATGTAGTCGCCGTTTCTTATTTCCATCTGAACCCAAACGCCGTTGGGGATTTATATGTTAACGATATCAATGTGATTGATTAACGAAGCTAAGCCACTAAAACTGTGACTTAGTGTCAATCTACTTTTGCATGTTTTAAGTTTTTAAATGACCATGTAGTGGCTGTGCTTCGTTAACCAATCACCCACGTAACCGTTATCATATAATCCTCAACGGTGTTTGAATTCAGAAGGCAAAGAGAAGCAGCGACTACAGTTTTATTAGCAGATAACTCAAACCACAAAGCAGAGAGGCAAATGGATGAGTCAGCGAACCAAGAGTGTGTGTAGTGTTATATATATATATATATATATATATATATATATATATATATATATATATATATATATATATATATACGTTGTTATAGTACATATGACTTTGTCCGCTAAATAAGTTAACAAAAAGGCCTAAACGAATTAAATGAGAACAAACTCAATTGCACGTGAGTTGCTATAACCAACATCTACGCACTCCGGACTGCAAATCATTTGCACATCCATTTTCGCTGATGAACTCATTGAACTTTGCTGTTACTGTCTTTAATGGTTCACTTTCAATTGTATGTGGTGATTTTAATTCATATGACTCGTTAAAGTAAGACAGACATATAATATTGAAAATATTCATAAAACAAATCTAATTGAACTTAGTATTGTGAGCTCATTTAAATTATCATCTGTTAAGCACCATTACTACTTTAGAAAATCCCAGGTGTATGTCTCAGACTATACTAACGTTAATATATTTTTCAAAAAGTGATTGAATTAAACAAACAACAGCCAAGTGTCCATAATTTCAATAAACTTTTTGGAGAGGTTTAGAAAAAGTAAGAGGAAAAACTGGAAAAGAACCCTCACATAGAAAAAAAAGAAATCAAAGAGATTTGTCTCATCATTTGACAGAAAGTGACAATCAACGATTTATCACTTAGTTTACGGAGAATTAATTTCGACTCAGCTTCCGATCTTTAGATCGCATGTTTGAACTTCAACTCAACTACTTTAATTTAAGTAGCCGGTTAATATAACCATAAGACTATAATTTATGGACGACCTTTCAGCGACGCTGAAGTGACCCTGAGAATATCCTACTTATTAGGGCTTATTGAAGTTTATAAAGCAGTATGAAGAATAAGGATTAGGATTTACAATTGATGGTTAGGGTTAGGAAGTAAATTTATAGTTTTCATCACGAGTTGACATCAGCTGAAATGACAAAACGCTAATTAGACAAATGGTTGAACGTATTTCGCGTCAAAATCCGAGACCTGTCATCCTAGATCTGATTGGTTCGTCCGTAAATTAGTACCACTTATATAACTGGACTGTAAAAACTCACAAACCAAGTATAAAAGTATGAACATTTTTTAATGCATTGTGATACGATGTGAAAAAAATTTATTATATGGAAAATGTCAATAAAAATAGTTGTTAATATTTATCAAAATACACTCACATATATCACATTCTTTCCAATATCCAACATGGATAAATTGAATTTCGACAGTTTCTGTCCGGCCCACATATAACAACGAACTAAGGAAAATGAAAATATAAAGAATGAATAAGTTTCAACATACCTACGAACTAATTCTATCTTCCTGTACTATCTCCTTATACACACTCTTTCTTCTATATATTACCACCACTGAATTAACTACTTCTATGAATCCGGTGTTCATCTTGTTGTGCTAATGCGATATGGCAACTTGGACCGATGCATATACGTGCCTGGTCCTACGTTGCAGCTGACTGACTGACTACCTTATTAACATAATGTGAGAAAATCAACGTGACAAAAAGTAAAGCAGTTAGCATAAGTAGTCTGATAATGAAAGATAAAATATGGTACACCTTGATGAATATACGTTACATTAACTATGGGTTTTAACAATTTCATTAATATTGGAAGGAAGTCATAGTTGTCTAAATATGATGATGACTAACTATGACATGTATTCAAGGCAGAAATCAGTCTTTAGATTTATCATAAACAGTTCCAATCCCATAGATAAAACTGGTATAAGAGATGTCTGGACTTCTTCAGTGACAATTAAGTTTGCTGGACGAAACGTTGGAATTATTTAAATTTCAATCCTTGACATTATTTCAACGATAATTTTCACGTATAATGACTTTTCTATAATCGGCGCCCAATTTTTGTCAAACTATTCTTTCTAATATTGACGAGTATTCGTATAAATGATGTAAGTGATGTTTTGATCTGAATTATGATGTTACAAAACTTAGAATAAGTGTAACAAGAGATTTATTTATGTAGTACACATACAACAATCTGTCATATACAAGCAACATAGAAAGTTTGGTCGTTAAGAACAACTAAAGTGAGTTGCAGGTGAGGAGATTCTCTATTTATGTAACGGGGTAAATTCAAACTGTGGAAACAAGAAACTGTGTGACTAATAACTTGCTTAAATTAAAAAAATTCATTTTAGTGCAATAAATCTCCATGTATCTACCCAAATGTATCCAAATGGAAACAAACTATTCATAAAAATAGCGATAAGCCATTCGGTACACCAAAAAAAGGCCCCACAGGAACTATGTTTCGAAAGTACTTTGGAAAGATGATGGCATGACAACGGAATACCTGAGTATATAGACGTCCAAAGATCAAACTACAAGTATATTTGCACTTATTAATTAGATATGCTAGAATATCAAAAAATAAATGAATATAAGTATACTAAGTTGCAAATAGTTAAAAAAAACATACCAGTATCAACTTTTGAAGGTAATAAGTTCTCATGACCATCTGAATCTCTTTTCTAGAAATAATGACGAAAAGTAACGAGTAGTTTCAAACAAATAACAAAAGTTACAGGGCAAGAAATATATATATATATATATATATATATATATATATACTACCATTAAATTAAAAAGTTGAATAATTATCAAAATCAAAATGAAACTACAGTTACAAGAAAATGTTATGAATACAATTTGATTGTGATAAAATGGAAAATCAATATAATGTGAATGTAATATTAAACAATAAAGTATAGAATTTACTAATTTATTGCAGGTAATTGAAACGTACTAATTTCCAACCTGAATGTGGTTAAATGATTGAGATTTTGTTGCCACATCGTGGTCTGTTTTCTTGGAAAAAACGAGTGTTGTGAATATTTCACACTGATAGACTCTTACATTTCTCAACAACAAGTAAGTATAAATCATTCAGATATGAGGTTTTGAAATGTGAAAGGTATGTCTAGTGACTTAAACATGGATGAGATACCCTTCAAAGTATTAAGATACTGTAGTTAAAACATAAATACTGGATAACAGAAAACAGACTTATTAGATCGTGAATTTTTGTGACTACTCCATCAACTTGGACCTATAATTTAAAAACAATGGATGAGAATTTTTAGTCTACTTTAATTATTTTAATCAGTGTTCACAAGATTTCATAGTCCTTTAGACAATTGTCAGTTTACAAGATGTTGAATTACAATGTACCTAACAGCTAAATTATTTTCGTATCTCTAAGAAACCAGAATTCGTAAATTGTGATCTAAATAACGAATTAAAGACAAAAATATACTTTACAAACAAAAAGTAACATGTATAAAGCACAAATGCTTACATATATCATAGGTAATCTTAAATAAACTTTGATATAAGATATGTCAGAAATCCCATTGACTTAAGTTTTAACAAATCTAACAACTCATTGGATTACGTTATAATAGAAATAATGCACAAAATATAACACCTACTAAATGAGAATTAATTTGAATGTTGCTAAGATTTTTCTTGGTTATTTGGTTATCTAACAGTTTTTCTTTTACTTCAAAGTCTATTGAGTGTAGAATTTCTTCATGAACATTCGATAAAGATTCATTTTTCTCATTGGCATTTACAGATTGTAGTGATTCATACAATTCATGAGATTCAGTAGGCTTTTGATTGTTATTTATGACACCTTTGAGATCGTCAAAACTATTCATTTGTTCTGAATCAGGGGTTGGTGAGAGAAAAACATTAAGATGTGAAGAACATTCTGGACAATAATGCTTACTAATGCAAGAATGATGATCAGATCGCCCTGATACTTGTTTTTTACTAACTGTTTGAAATTTCTCAGCAGCATCTGGATTCATATCTAGCACGGAGTTTGAGTGTTGCCAGTTTCGTAGTTCATTTTCACGAGGTTGAGATGGGGACTCTACTTCATCTGGACAAGATGAAGAATCAGCATCACTCCCCAAATCGCTATTGATCCTATCAAAGTATTCAGTTTCCGAAGCTGTTTGACCCTTGAATTTATTAAAGAGAAAATATACAGAATAATCATCCTTGTTAAAAGGTTGAAAAAACATGAAGAAAAACACTTGGTTTGGAAAAATGACGAATGAATTGTAAACTAAACGTGAATATACAATTACAGTAAACAAAAGCAATTAAGTCTGGGAAATCGATGAACTTAAGTGGATTCAGAATTGCACCATTCTGTATAGTACCCTGATGAGTTAGTCCTTGGCTGTACAGGTTGCTTCTTACGAACACAGATTTCTCACAATCGACGGAAGTTAAACTTAGCTGTGATCTGAAGCATAAAACGCTTGGATTTTTTTTTACTTTGACACAACAATCTAAATTGGACTTATGTGAAAATAGATTAGGATTATTCTGTTAGTAGGTGGAGTATGTAATTAACATTTTAAGTAGTCACCATTATTTTCAAAACTAAAGAGTCCAAAATATTACATTATATTCATACGTACGTCATCCACTAATCAACATTTGCTAACTGAATTATGTAGTCAATAAGTGATAAATTAGAAAAAAATTTTGCACAATTTATAAATCTTTATTAAATTAGCACACTTCAATTGGTAAACTTGCAGCTTAATAGTCAAAGGCTTGAAAACTTTCTAACTAAAAACAAACATCCATGGTTTTGTGAATAGAATATCCTTAATTATTATCAGTTCAAAGACTACCTATAATCTATCTAAAAAATAAACACTTCAAAAATATTTTGTCATGCATATATGGACATGGTAACTGATTTACCAGCTATTAAAAATTGTAAGATGACAACATACAGTAGGGTCATAAACATCTGATACAAAGTCTTCCTGTACAACATATAGTCACATGAGACAAATATTATAACACGTTGTTATTCAGAATAGATTATATGAAAAGTGACAAAAATATTCATCCACATCAGTTTTTGTATCATTTAGTTTAGTAATAACAAACGTAACACAGTGATCGAGAAATCATCTTTTAAAGCCATAAACCAAAGTCAAAATAGCAACATACAACTGCTAAAACAATGTATTGCGACAGACGGTATTTTTAGGGTTAGGAAGTCAAACACAATTTACAGCATGGTATATGTATTCATTGGTTTAATTTGCCATAATCCATTGGCATAATGAGATGAAATTGTCAGGACAAATTCCAGAATAGTAGAGGTAGTAACAGTATAAATGGCAATAAAAAAGATCAAGCATCACCGATACAATTTGAGAAAATATAAATTAGTAAAATAACAGTAACAGAATTTATAAAGAATCATGAAACTTAGGAGTTAAAGGAAGAAAATGAGTAAATGAGGCTACCCCACTGTGAACGATTTTGAGCAATTTCATTCAAAATCTCGAAGCATCGGTTACGATGATCTCGCAGACCACAACCAGATAGCTTATGCCTACCTATATGGATCAGTCTAGCAGTCAGTGTCTTCATGGACTGCTGACACGTCTTAGTTTGCTCAGATAAAGTAAACTTTCTACCTCAATAAATTAAATTTGCTAAGAAATATTTTTAAATGTGAATTCGCCATTACATTACATTACTGACTGACGAAACAAATGAAGAACCCTACACAAACTGGCGAACAATAAACATACATTTAGTACTAGGATTTCTACCAAATAATACTGCACACCGTTTTTGCTGTATACTATTGAGAACTGTATTAGATCACTGGGTTTGGATCCAGTGGTCCATATTTTCAACTGCAATCAACGTCCATCATCCAGTGCAATCGGTAATATATCTCATTCTTTATCTTTCTCTCTTAACATGGCTGGACTCCACTGGTTGGGACAAGCCATCAGGAAGTTCAGAATTAAACTTCAAACTAGTCACTATTAAGGGTGTGTAGATCTTGAATTCGACGTCAGTAAATAATAGAAGATTAGCGTGGCTGGGTGGGACCAAACCAAGATAAACCAACCATACAGTTCTGCCTCATATTCAGCAGTTCACCAGTTCTTATCATTCACTGACGAAAATTAAACTCAAAATAATTTTATTGACCACGCTATATTCAGCGACAATAATTTATGTAGTATTTAAGCCTCTCAGTGTAGTGGCCTCCATAATTGCTATGTTTGAAGGGATTACGTGTTCATCTAAATCTGCAAACGGAAAGAAGACTCAGCAACACAATGACCAAATAAGCAAACTATTCCAATGCGTCACAGCGCCGCTAACTAGGGAGAGAATTCCGGGTTCAGAAGAGGGAAGATGTATTCCACAAGCAGCCAGAAGCACGAACAACAACGAGAACAACTCAAGCGTATATATACAGCATCAAAGTGTCCTTGGGGAACGTTACAAAGTAGCATATTAAAAGAGACAACGAACCAATGACGTTTAAGGTCCTGCTAAGTGTGAAATACGATATGAAGGTGGAAATGGATGTTTATGTTGCGAAAACAAGAAATTCAAATTTCTAAAATAAAATTATAAAAATAAGACATTTACCAAGTGAATTCTTGGGATCTAGCATCCCCAACAGTATTATTGATGGTTTTATTCAGTATCCTGGTGTTAAGTGGAAACTGATTTCAATTCGATCAGCTTATAATCGACAAGTATGAACGCAGTTGTACGGTAAGATAAGATATACCGTCTTTTGAATGCAAATCAAAGTAACAATAATAAAAGAAACGATATCTTACAGATTTCGAAATTCCTATTAAATACAAGACATATAAAAATGTGTGCGACCTCATATTTACAACATTATATCAAGAGACATCATTAGAAAAGTGATAGTGAAAGCTTTAGTGAATGTAAAATATTAAAGAATAAAATGACCTTACTCGACCATTCATATTTGTATCTTGTGATTCATTTTTTGAAAAATAATGTGAATGCGAATACATATCACGGACAAAACCGTTGACAGGACCAATATACTGTTTCATGTGTCGGTTAGAAGAATGAGTAACCGCATCTTGTGAACTGAAAAGTATACATGTAGAAAGGGTATTAAAGAGTCCTTATGTTTGAAAAATGATATTTCAAGGAACGGAAGGAGGAAAAACATCAAAGAACTCAAAATACTGGAAGCACACGAATAGATTTAGGTATAAGATTTGAGAAACAGTCTTTACAAATTCGCTAGATCTTATGCTGCCAGACATCTTTATTACAAGTTCAATACTCAGAATCATGTTTTAAGAACCAGACATAGTAGTTTAATACACCAGTAACAAATTAAGTTTATTAGGGTTACTAAAAGCAGAAATTTATAAAACAATGGAATTTATGCAGTCATTGGACTTTGAAAAAGATTTTGTGCGGATGAATCGGAATTCTAGCTCAAATATTGGGCTTATTTTTGACGCTACTTATAAATGTATTAGTAGTAAACGTTTGATCTAAAATAAAAAAGCAAAGTGGTTGAGATACAAATTGGATTTAAAGGTCGTAATCTTTCCATGAATAAACATTTGAATAAAGAAGTACATAAAACGCTAATATATAAATGTTTTAAAAATTATCAAGTTATGAAGAAATATGAGTAAACCATAGTATTAAATTATTACTTCCAATGTGAGGTAGGTAAACTATATAAGGAAAATGTATCGCATACATTGCCTATAAGTTTTACGAATCCAATCTCGATGCAACAATATCCCTGAAACATTTTTAGCATAACCAGTCTTGAAAAACTCATAAAAGGATTCTTGTGCTTTAACACAATCAAACATATTTGCTTTGGATGCAGATACAAGGTAATAGATATCATACTGAATTGCAACAAGTAATAAATCAGGGAATTGTAATTGAGAATAAGTACTAGTATACATAAAAACTTCTGTTCAGGAATCAGCGACTGATGACTTGTGCATCCTTACTTCAACTGATCCGGTGCAATAATGACAACATGTTGAAAAATCGTAGGGGTTGTTTGGAAATATTTTTTTCAGTTTGAATATTAAATAGATCAAAAATACATACCGAAGTCTCTATATTAATATTTAGGAGAACTTCGTCAAAAAACAAATCAGCCACTTTCTCGATTAAGCACTTCTTGTTTATCTTAACACGGAGTCTTGGTGAAAGTGCTATCTATGTCAGTAACTTGTTAGTGCATATCGAGGATAAATTGAGCCATCAAATTTTGTGGCAAGTAATTAATGAATTTTAGCTTAGCCTTGATAAGCTGGTTCTGATAACTCGAAGAATTCATCGTAACTCAACAAATGAAATTGACAAAAATAAATGTATATCAGCGACTCTTCTTAATAATTATTATCGTGAAGAGACATGATGAGCACGTTAGTGTAAAACAAGTTGCCTGAACTTAAGAAAATTTTTCATATTGTTAACGATTTGGCAACAGATTAATAATCGATCGCGGACACAAAATATTACGAAGAAACCGAGTGAATAATTAATTCTGAAACTGAATCTGTTGATGTATAACATTTACTGAGATCCCACAAATGATTAATCATCAAAATGGTCAAACGATTGGTTACGCAGCCATGTTATTATTTCCTAAAAACGAGATATTACGGAAAAAATATAATTAAAAGCTTCATGTATTACAGCCCGATGATGTCATAAGGTCACTAGACGTACAATGAATTTATGACTTCAAACATGGGCTGTGTTTTCGTTCCTTATGAAACGCTACAAAGTTGATGCCTTGGTATAAGCCCAAATGCCCTGGTATGGTCGAGAGTGGTGAGCAGATAGAAGTAGTCGAGAAGTTCGTGTATCTAGGTAGCTGCATAAGTGCTGGTGGTGGCGTGAGTGATGAGATCAATGCACATATAGTGAAAGCCAGAGCGGCTCATGCCAATCTGGGCCATCTTCGGCACCTTCGTGATGTCAGTCTGGCTGTAAAAGATCGGGTCTATAACGCGTCGGTGAGAACAGTTCTGCTCTATGCTTGTGAAACCTGGCCTCTCCGAGTTGAGGATGTTAGACGACTCTCTGTGTTTGATAATCGTTGTCTCCGAAGGATTGCTGACATCCAGTGGCAACACCACGTCAGTAATGCAGAGGTTCAGCATCGTGTGTCCGGGCACAGAGACGATAATCCAATTGGTGTCACCATCTTGAAACACCAACTTCGGTGGCTTGGACATATTCTACGGATGTCGTCCAAGAGAATTCCACGTCGTGCATTATTTGCCGACTTTGGGGACTGGTTGGAAAAAGAAGAGAGGTGGTCAGTGTATGACATAGTGTCAAGGTACGAAAGAAAGCTGCAAAGGGCTGGCTTCTGTTGGTCCTTCACGACTCCTTGGCTGGGATCCGAGAGATGGTGCAACACAGTGGCTAGAGACGTTATCAGATATGGCTCATAATAGAAGCCAGTGGCGATCCTGCTGTAACCTTCTTTTACTTTCTTCATAAAAAGTGGTTGTATCTTCCTTAACTGAAAGATTTCTTCTGAGTGTACCTTTTCGTCTCCCCCATTATTGTTCTCCTTTCTGTTATAATTCCCTACGTTCCTTACTTTTTTTCCCTTCTCCTTAAATTCTCATTGTTTTGTGTGGCGCATAACTATTTGGTGCCCCCATGTACCAATATTTATGTGTTCAAATAAGTAAATAAAATAAATAAGATGCAGATATTATTTTACGTTACGAGCCTGTTATAATCTAACTTAGTTTTAAATAATGTGAAAGAATTACAGTTAAGGTTGGATAGACGTCTATCTTCTAAACTTGACAGATAAAAACAGATATTAAATACTATCAGGTTTTTGACGTAAACGATCAGTAATCGATAACACACGGAGAAGTAAGATTAATGAAAAACCTGTAGAGATAAACAAAATGAAACGTTTGCAAACAAACATTATTGTAAGGCTAACAAAGTTGATGAAATTACTAGTTTCAAAGCACATTAATTAAAATAATAGAAATCCCAAATTTCAGATCTTAAAAGATTAGACATACTTTGTAACATCCGTTGTTGGTGTCGTTTGTGAACGATCATTAATATTTCCAGACAAAGAATTAGCCTCTGTCCAATTGTAAAATATTTTCGTTGGAGTTGATTTTAAACAACTTTTGTTTATGGAATTTAACGACGATATACGTTGATTAGATGGTTTAAAATTAATATCAGGATTTTTAGATGGAAGGACATATTTACCCAAATATTTCGAATTTTCATTTGACCATTTACTATTTAGTACAACCGAATCTGGCTCAAGCACATCTGTATCAGTGTGATTAGAATTTATAACAACACGTGGATGTTGTAGGTGAAAGGCACGTTGTAAAAACAAGCGTAAGTATTTAGCACGTTGTCGATTAAATACGGTAATGGTATCATCTTTATTAATACATTCATAAGACTTGTTCTTAAATTCCGAATGACCTAAGTTATGTTTTTAAGATAAAATAACAAACATAATATATTTATAACGACATTCCACAGAAGATATACTGAATTAAATTTTATTAAGTATCTTTATAAAATGTAAATAAAGATTTTCTAGTGACAAAACAATCGAAAATGCCTCACGATTTGAAACAAAGTAAAACGTAACAGGAATTACAACTCATATAAATGAAATAAACCCAATCCAAAAGTCCGAGCAGAGCAGACTAATATATTATTTAGCAACCTCTTAAGATTTATCAGTTTTTGACTGAAAATCTTAATTTCTTAACTTGGTAGTCGTTACAATTGATTTTGATTGTACTAATAATAAGTTGGATTCATATATGTTATGTATTTTTTTTAACGAACAATAAAGTTGAAACTTCTGTGATTTCATAAAACATGAAATAACAAATAAAAACCAAGAACGAAAAAATGTGTGACTGCTCTAAACTTGATTGCATTCATAAAAGAATATATCCATAATACACAGTTTCTTTATGCTTTAAATCAATGAATATAATGTGAACCTATTCGTCTACACAATGTATAGAGAATAATTGATTTTGTAAGAATAGAGTAACTAGAAATGATAATTATGTTACGAAGAAAAAAACTTCAATGGAACTTAGATGAAAAAAAAGTATTCCTCTTAAAAAGACATTTTTTGTGTAACATTTAAAGAAAACTCATGTGTTTAAAAATATTAAGAGCAAATGGTTCATTTTATAGCTAACAAAGTACATTTCCTTCGAAAACTTATACAGAATCACGTGAATAAATAAATCTCCAAGGTTATTTCAACAAACTATCAAAGGGATGAAAAAATCTATGATTATTATTCTTGTAAAATATTTTCATGAAAATGAGGAAAATTTTCCTATACCACGTGAACTCAACGAATGAATTAAAATCCCTACTCTATATTCAGTAAATAATGAAAAAAAAACATGATAAAAAGTTTCATAGATAAAAAGAAATATTTTAAAGGAAATTTTTCTCTTTAATTTTGTAACTAACTGTTGATAAATGTTAACAAATAGTTAAGTTTTAATACATTTATTTATTCATAGATTGGAACACCGACTGAATAAAAGTATGACCAAAAGTAATGATGTACGATTAAAATTTATGGTTACATAATTGCTGCATAAAATTCTATATTAACGAATAGAATATAAGTTAACGAAGAGAACAATGAATTTTATGAAATTTTTTTTAACATTTCAACTTGACCTACAATAAGAATACATATTTATAAATTAAACAAAGAATTAAAAAGATCAGTTTCATAAGATGATCCTACTTGCATAGTTAACAATTTATTACATTTTTTTTCGTTTTGTATTGAAAACATGAATCCTGAAGTCATCAACACTAACTAAATCAAATTTAATTGTAAACACGTAAATGATATTTATAACGTGAAAGTGTTATGACTTGAACCAGTTAATTATCGCGTGATTTAATCACCAACTAAAACGCGGCTAATATAACCTTGGCACTGTGCCAAAACAATGCCGATTTAACCAGTACGAGCATAAACATTTAAATAAATGATGAACAATTCCATTGCATCATCTAGAAATAATCTGACCACTTTGATCTGACTTCAATTTAACAGTCACGTTATTAATTATTAATAGGCCATTATATATATATATATATATGGACAGGTCTGAATATCTTAAAACTATTCGTTTCAGAGTTAAAAGTTAAGGCTATCCAAATTCTCCATTGGGTGCCTCAACGTACAGTGGCTTGAGACGTTATCAGATATGGCTCATAATAGAAGCCAGTGGCGATCCTGCTGTAACCTTCTTTTACTTTCTTCATAAAAAGTGGTTGTATCTTCCTTAACTGAAAGATTTCTTCTGAGTGTACCTTTTCGTCTCCCCCATTATTGTTCTCCTTTCTGTTATAATTCCCTACGTTCCTTACTTTTTTTCCCTTCTCCTTAAATTCTCATTGTTTTGTGTGGCGCATAACTATTTGGTGCCCCCATGTACCAATATCTATGTGTACAAATAAATAAATAAATAAAAACTCAACGTGCAAATAGGTGACAAATACCATTCCATAGTACACCAACACTACAACTATCACAGTAGTAGACGAACCAAACTGAATTACGTTATTAATAAATATATTTTTGTTATTTATTTATTCTGAAGATGTGGCTTACATTAAGTCACAAAGCGTCAGAAATACTATTTTTCTACTCAGTGGGATATAACAAAAATATATTTATCTATTAACTCTCTACCAAATCCTCAATTTATATGAAATCATCGAGTCAAAACCTGGCATTGATACCTATGAATTGAGTTAAGTAGCCAATAAGTGTATAAAATGTGAATTTAAGACCTGATGAGCACAAGTGATCAGTATTCAATATTATTCGTAAAAATTATAAAAACAAACCAGAGAAAATGAATACCACAGGAGAATCAATAATCATAAAAATTAAGCTTACCATAATTATCTTGTAGTAAGTCAAGTTTTTCGTTCAGTTCATTCAACTATTGTAAATATCATAATAGAATTGTTAAGTATGTTATCAAAGGTACATGCAAAAAAAGGAATAGAATAAAAAATAAAATTTCACATGTTTATGATTTATATTACATAATTGTAGATATACAGTGTATATTGAACGTTACACAATCAATCCCAAAAGTCAAAAAAAAAAACATTATTCATATGATACAATAATATAAACAAACTGATAATCATTTTTAATGAAGCTAAATATCCCGAAATATTATCTACTGATGCCAACTAAAATACAAACGTGTCTGCAGTTTATCAATCCCTTAAGGTTGATTTAAAAAATCTATCCTTTTTGTTATTTGACCGTTGAGTACTTAAACTAGTGATCTATTTGAATTGTACCAGAAAACTATAATACTTTCGTATTATTATACTTGGTTCATTGCAAAAGGATATCCTATATAGTGCTGTATTTTCAGCAGTCATTTCAAGACATAAACTGTCACCTTCAGATAAAGTGATACGAATTCTTTCTTAAGATCATGATCCATTGATAAATTTATTTGATACGGACGAAATTATGAGCAATCTTTTATTTTAAAAAATAAAACGCTAGTATTCGCAAACGAATTAATTAATCGATACAACGGATTTTAACAATTGATATAGAATACGACAGAACTTGGCAAGTTAAACTGTTAGTTATCCGTAATATGAACATTGGTCAAAATCTGAATGAATAACTTGACAGAAAGTGGTTTACAAATATTATTCATTTTTGATAATTTTATTTTGACTATTTCTCTGAGGAACTTCGGACCAGGTTGCTGAGCGGAACAATAAGAATTTTTAAATTTCGACTGCTAAGATAATGAAGACATAATTTTTACGCATAATGAGTCTTAGAAAATGAAATATTCTTAACTGGAGTGACAGAAACTAACATTAACCTATAGGACCAATGATAGCAAAATACATTATGAGATACTTCAAATAAAAATCTTATAACATTACGCAGGACTTTTCTTAAAAATCTCTTAATTCAACAATGTTCTTCATGTAAAATACTTCACGAATATTTGCTATTATCCTTAGTCTAATTCTTGGTGAAGAGACATATACATCTAGTAATGACTGAATGTAAATTAGCAACTGATAAAAATAATGTTATCCCACAACATATCTTAGATTTGTACAAATTAAGTTTCTTTTGAACCTGAATCATTCTAATATATCATTTTATTTCCACTGATTGTTAAGAAGTACTTTTCACTATAAAAACTAGAAATCTTTAAAAGTAATGAACAAGAACATAGATTTCAAATAATTACATTTCGAAAGATATTTATTTCAACCAAGATCTGCTAAAATGAGATCATTGTAAGTATCCGTTTTCAATCTCCAAATCCTATAGAAAAACTTAAGCCTGGGTACATGAAATCCTCTTCTCAATATGACTGACCGTCAAAACCACACAAATCAAATCAATAGTTACAGTATTAATAGTAGAAAAAACATTAATATTAACAATGTGATTCGAGAAGAATATATAGATTAGTGTAGTCCAAAAAGAATACAAGATGATTTAGAAACTTAGTTACCAAGAAAGGACTAAGAGTGAATGTATCTGCGCTATTGAGAGCGAGTATGAGTCATGTTACCCGTCTCTAACCTTTAGCTACCAGAATCAGGCAGATAGTCTGAACCTACCAACAAGGTCCAATTCAACAATTTTATGGACAGAAACCACTTTTCAGTTTCCCACGCCTAGTTTTACTACAAAAAAAGCATGCGTCGAAGTAGCTCATCTGGTGTGTGTATTATTTGTACTAACAGTTTTAGTCGAAGACTCACTATCGCACTATTTCCATCAAGCAATACCCATTCATTCCTCACTTTATCATAGCTGATATGATCTATTCTTCGTTTTGATTATTAGTAGGTGGAAATCAAACTTCCAATGTAAATGTCTCTGAGTTCGCTTCTGAACTGTGACAGCTTGAATAACAGGGATGCTAATAATTCTGTAATGACTAAACAGGAACTTTACAAGACAAATTAAAGCATGAAATTGACATTTAGGATACCAGAACAAGCTGACTTCTAGACACATAGCTTGGTAAGAATCGAGAAAAAATAATTTAAGCTTCAAATAATTTTTAAAACCACAGGTTGGAATGTTAGAATGTGACTAAGTGAAACAAATTTTGACTAATAAACATTTTCCTGAAACTTTAACAGACAAAATCAATACATTTACTGATGGGAATAAAACACAATTGAGGGGAAATTGATCAGTATAAATTACATACCTTTTGGAATTCTTTAGATAACTCAACTGTTTGGACAGTAGATTTCATGTCTTCAATCAGTTGGGATTTAGATATATCAGTGTAACTAGAATATGTCTTCCTGTCCAAATGTTTGTCAACACTAGACCGACCACTTTTGATTACAATAAAATGAAGTTGATAAAAGATAATATTAGTCAACTTTTGAATAATTCATCGTTGCAGACAATAAAAAAGAACTTAGTCTCACTAGTTTATCCGTTCAATACAACAGATTTTGCAGAATTTGACGACTAGCTCCCATTAATAAAAATAGACTGAAGTAAGATGACCTGAGATTTCACTAATTTAGAAAATGTCTCATCCACTGATTAAAATAAGATGGCAGATCAATATTAAACTAAAAACCATTGAATAAATGTTTTGTCAAACTCGGACAAAATGTAACTTAAATTCGGCACGATTAAACTCAGGAGTGAGGTACACAGTGAGTAGAATATTACTTCAGAATTCGAGTTCATATCAAATGATTTACATTTTTTAACTTTAACATATACACAAGTAAATAGTTTTAAATATTCTGTAAACATTATTAAAAAAGAAGTAGGAAGTCTATTTTGTAGATCAAGGTATAGATTTACACATAAATCAACTGTCACAAATCATATTTAACCAAATAGCAAATAAAGGTTTCACTGAAATTTGGGACTTTTCAGTAGCGCGATTCCACTAAACTCCTCATTATTAAATGTGGGATTTTCAATTTCAATGAGGATTGTTATTGTACAGTTGATAAACTCAAAAGCATTATTGAGCATACTCAAATTACGAAGTGAATAAAATTAGGTGTTAATTATAACTGCAGTTCAATACATAAAATATTTATTGCTATTTTATGGTATTCCGTCAAATGAATAAAAATAATTAAGTATTTGGTGTAATACTTACTACCACTGAGGCTATTTGTCTTGTGATTTATTATATTTTACAATCAAGTATACGAAGAGTTAAGAGAAATACACAGATGACGCATGCTTATACTATACAATGACAAATACTTAGATTATGATCTTGAAAACAACATGATAGTATTATAATTAGCACCAGTATACAGCATATAACAATATGATTGTCACTTGTTTATAAAACGACATAATACACATAATAAAATAGTGTACTTGGAAAATACAGTTATTATTGCATTACCTACTTACACATCATACCATTTTACCATGTAGTTAATTTTTTGCACCTTTATTACACTAAATATCTTCAACATATTTAGACGACTGAGAGATATGAAAAATCATGTTCTCACTATCCTGACTCATGTGAATGAATAGTTGCCTCAAATGATGATCCTGTTGTAACCAACAGGGTAGGATCTATAGTGAAAACTCAACTAAACATTTTCCCATTTATCCATTTGACGATAATTCAACAGAACCGTAAGCACATATATATGACTCAGCTCACTAGTAATTTGTAGATGTTGATGATAACGTGATGTATAACACATTTCACTAGATGCCATTCAATTCTTATTAATTAGTATCAAAACATTTTTGTAGTCACTTTCGTTATCACAACAGAAGCTGAAATAAGTGGAACATTTTGTCAATCCAAGTGTCAAAAGTAAATTTATTACACAAATTGATGAGAACAGATATAAGCACAGATTACTTGATGTGACGAATTGAGACTAAATCTGATTATGGTTAAGTATTTAATCAAGATAGTTCATGTTTAGGAGTACTAAATTAATATAATTTTCAAAATGATTTCGTAGCATTAGTAGGTCGATAAGGTTAAACGACATTTTGATTATGATATTAGAATGGTTTAACCTAAAAGATCTTAAAAAGTCAATTCAACTGATTTTTTTATGTGATTCGACGTTTAATCGGTCAGACTATCAAAACTTACTTTAAGCAATTTTTTAATCATGTTTCAGTAACTAGTGTTTACCACGTATAATTGATTAACGATAAATGATAAGGTGAATACACTCCAAATAACGAAGTATTCAAACATACACAGGTGGATATTGACATAAGCACATATATTTATTTTAAAGACCACTCAAAATAAACAAAGTGTCACTTATATGAAGTTAACAATACAATTAATATTGTCAGTACCATTTTGGATTTGCTGTCAATTCTGCACCAACATCATGTACGGATTCCAATTCTGAAAATCATAATACATAATTAGAAAGTGGTACAGTCAGTATGAACATCCATTCAACTTAGATTAAATAAGTGAACAATAATGTGTTATATTGATCAGGATATATATATATATATATATATATATATATATATATATATTCGTTATCGACGAGGTAGGTGCACCCATTCTTTTTCTTCCCTTAGTACCTAAGTTTCTAAACTATCTTATATTCTTTTTCGATTTCCCAAATGTATATTTTCTTCACGAATTATATTGTTAACACTAATCTGTCCTACTATAACTTATACTGTTAGTGCTTATTCTACTTTTGTATTTCGCTATGTTAATACGGTGTAGTAAATTGGAAAAAATGTATGTACGGGGTTAGTAAAGAAATATACATGTAAAAATATGATGCAACGAAGTCTCAAATACAGTTCTGCTCAGCATAAAACACTCATTATCTACAACTCAGTTGGAAATACTTTATCAAAGTATCCAACTGAGACTATTAAATGAAAGGTTCTAAGACAACATAGAGTTATTATTATCAGCAAAGAGCAAATTACTCATCTTGATCAACATAAAATTAAACAATAAACAATAGAGGTACATATTTATGGCTTTTACGCTCAAAAATTTTAGCATTTCTAGCACACATGTTTATGATGGTGAGGATAATAATAATAATCTCCACAGTTAGGTAATCATGTGAATTTAACATTCGAAATACACTATACTAAACATTAGTAACACGAATAAACAAATTATAATCGGTAACTTTGATATGTTGACTAACACTGATAGTTTTAAATTAAATGTTCGTAGAAAACAATTAAAGATGCAACATGCTACTAATGTATGTTTGTGAAAGCCAATGATACCACTGAAACTTTACCTACATGTAGTAAACAGTAAATTTTACCTCATGACCCAGTGGTTAAGAGACGATTGTAGAAAATATTGAGCAATAATTCGTAAATATCATAGCATATAAACAACACAAATCAATCTTAATTGTAAATACACAAATTCTAAATTGTAGCTTGATTGCAATGAATATGAATATAACATTGCGTAACTCATTACTTCGATATTTCTGATAGTGAACGTGTAAAATCAAAAACAATGAATAAGCTCCTTTCAGAATGGAACCATGAAACTAGTGATAGCACTTAACAACCCTACTTTTCAGGTTGCACAATGTTTTTTTATAAGGTTATTAAGGAGAAATCATGAACATTTACCAAAAATGCGACCATTTCCTTTTGGAAACTTTCTCACAGAACTGTAAGATCGAGCAGAATTAGTGGACGACTCTGCAGCTCCCGAAGAACGCGATGATAATGATATTTTACGATATGAAATATTTTCACTACTCAAACGAGCTCGTTGGTCTGAACATAACTTTAAAACTTCTCTAATCTGACCCTTCGTATTATTGTAGATAGATTGAAAATCTCTGTTTTGTTGGAACGGTGACTTCAATGCGTAGAGTAATTCATTATCGAATAGATGACACTGTGAACAATTTAATAACCCATCAGAGAATGATTTCTTCAACATTAGATTATTATTTGAAAACATATTGGTCGTAGTATTTTTACTGCGCACTGGAAAGCTTATCGACAATGAACGTTTTAATGAACGGCGACTAGATCCAATGAAAGAATCAAAAGAACTACTTAAAGAAGAAATATGAGACAAATGAGGTGGAAGACATTCAAGTTCAGAGAATTGATCGGTCTTCAGTAGGATAGGAGAATCACTGGTATATTGCGTTTTCGAAACACCTACATTATTTGAAGACTCAGTATTCTGAAATGAAAGAAAATTTAAAAGGATGAAAACAGTATTCAATTGTTTATTAACCTAAATGTTTTATGAAATAGTATGAATAGGACCGCTGAAATTAATAAACAATGTTTTCATCTCATCAACTCGAGTGAAAAATATAAACATAAAATAGATGACACACAACAATCTTTCAGCGGAATCTATAGGTTTTAAAATAAAGATTCTAATCATCATAAAAAACTTTTCATGAATCATTCTACTTACCAGGTCCTTAAGTACTGATGGAATTCTATCGATTAAATTTCAGTGTAATCACTAGTTTAAGCAACTAGATCGACAGAGTTTGATTAGCGATTAAGGGTTATGCAAACATGACAATGAGCATTACTCAGTGGACAATCAATAGTAGGTATCTCATTGCTACAAGAAGTCAGTTGCGGCTCGAATAACTCAGTAACATCTCAGACCATGAAGCTGGGTGACGCACGTCCCTATCCCACAGGAAGTATTAAATTCCTCAAGATTGTAGGTATGTCTCACTAGCGAGTGATAAATAACATCAAACCTAAACACAACGTTTCCTGCCGACTACCTCCAAGTACGCAACAGTGAACAACTATAGAAGAACCTTTTTTTAGATTCATCCAAAATAAATATAACTATATTTGGGGTATTGTTTTTGGGGTTACATAAGTTGTAACTAGGTTGTACATAAACGTACATTCTTGGATTCGACGACAGATATTTATAGTTATAGCCATTTAGGATAATCAACAACAATCTTTAAGATATGCAATAAAACACATTAATTAACATGCTAAAAGTGAGCACGAGAACACATAATGATATCAACTTATTGAACATCTTAGAATCATAAACCAATTCAAGAGAGTGTTGAAGGACAGTGGAATGAAATGAACTTAAAGGGTCATCTTATTTGAAAAATGAAAGTTAAAAAGTCATCAGAACATTTATTGAACAAACATTGAGTTTATGAATGTATCAAACATTGCACTATTGAAAAGAATTTAGTACAGCATATATACATATACAATTTAATTAAATAAGAATGCAAGAATTGAATGCCATTATACATTAAAATTAATTATTATATTCCTACAATATTATAACACTCAGTTGAAACAGTTTTCTACTGAACATATTTCCTTTTGCTATGGACACAACAGTCTGCCTAACAGTCATCCAATCTAAAATGTATAGTTTTAATCGGCGAAGTTGTAGCGATTTTGAATTCATCTGAATACCGCATGAAATAATAACACTTTATAAAAATAGATACCTATGAACATAAGCATGTGTAAATAAGACGTTTTACATAACATATATAAATAAAGAAAATAAACGTTTCGAAGATACGTTTGGTATTTAAGAGAAAATACCAAAATTACCAGAGTAAGGAAATTAACATCGGATTTTCGAATTTATGAAAAATAAATTAGAGCCGTACATTTTTTGAGAGAATACATAGAAAGGCATAACATCTTAAGAACATTTAAACAAAATCTAGACAGACTGCACGCTTCCAGAAGTTCCATTTTAGTTGAGTAAGACACTGATTCAGATTAATATCACGGATCATGGATTCTTAAATATTTTTTCATACAGTACGATGAGTTATCATATTGCACTGGTAGATAAATTTTCACTTGATCACCGTCTTAATATGTTTGAATTTTTAAATCTATGATACGTATAGCTGAAAACTCCGCCTATAGCTCTTCTAGGACAACTACCGGTCCCAATCCCAGGTAAAGAAGGGTGGGGCATAGGGTCAGCATCCCAGTCCCGTAAAAAACAACATTGCTAAAAAACACTAACCAGAATGACTCTTGTCACGAAGAGAAAAATGCTCCACACACTCAGGGAGTTGCTTTGGTGCTGTTCAAACAAGCACGAAATGAGCTTATAGAATGGGAATCTCATGGATCCAGGATCATAAAAGCATCATTCAAAACAAAGAAGGAGAAATCACAATGAATATTATCCAATGTTATGCACCCACTGATGATAGCAACGACGACGACAAACATCAGTCATACGAGAGGCCACAATCGATCATAGAGAAATGCCCAGGAAAGAACCTGACCATCGTGATGGGAGATTTAAACGCCAAAGTTGGGATGGACAACAACGGTTATGAAGATATCATGAGACGACATGAACTGACTGAGACAGGAACGAGAATGGCGGGAAAGTTGAAAATCTACGTGCATTCAACGAGTTGGTTATAGGCGGCACAATACTTCCACACAAACGTGTACACAAAGCTACATGGATCTCAACGGACCACACCACGGAAAACCAGATCGATCATATTTGTATCAACAAAACATTCACAAGGACAATGGAAGACGTGAGAACCGAGACAGGAGCTGATATAACTTCAGATCACCATCTACCTGGTGGTTGCCTGGGTGAAACTGAAATCAAGGAAGCAATGGACAACTGGGGAAACAGCAGTACAAAGGTTCAATACAACCTTTACTCGACACACTGACAAACTCAACGAGTTTAAGATAGCTCTCAGCAATAGGTTCCCAACTTCCAGATCAACAAGCTGGATTCTGTGAGAATCGGTCTCAAGACGAAATCGCTAAGCCACCGATTATCGATGAGCAATCAATTGAATGGAACTCATCACTATATATAAACTTCATTGACCATGAGAAGGCGTTTGACAATATGGATAGAAGAACCATATGGAGCCTTTTTCGACACTATAGTGTACCTGAGGAAATCGTCAACATCGTCCGCAACTCATACGACAGACTATGGTGCAAATCGGTGCATGGAGAACAGCTGACTGACGCATCCGAAGTAAGAACCGTGTTATATCCTAGTGAAGATTAGATTACGAGTAAATTCCGAGAACTATTAATGGGCTAATATAATATATATATATATATATATATATATATATATATATATATATATATATATATATATATATATATATATATATATATATATATAGTTATTGTATAACTATTCAGTAACTAAATTGTATATATCTATATCCCTCTTATTATAAGCTTCATTTTTGCCCATAGATTATTATTATTATTAGACGATTTACTGTTTTTAAGTTATCTTCAGTCCATTGATTAAAGTCTCCCACGTGCACAGCCACATTTTGGCTTGATCTTGAATAAAAGTTATTTCCTATTTTACGGTGTAATTCGGTCTGTTTGACTGGTATATAAACCCAGCATGTTTGAAATAAATGATTCATATTGCAGAGGCACGGTTAAGCGAGAAGCAGGACCGATAAGCAAGCTAGGCTGCTTAAACCAGTCGAACGTCATTGGTTTAGCACAATACTAAGATTGAATAAGTCATATTTCGATTAGCGAATAAATCATGTGATAACTAGCCGGCCTTAAAGTCACAACAGACCAAAGTCATTCAAGGCTGCTAACTCTCGCCCTTTCTCTTTCTTCTGGAAGTTGACTGGATTATGAAAACCTCCACATCTGACAGGAAGCACGGAATGAAATGGACAGGTTGATTGCAACTAGACGACTCGGGAATCGCAGATGATCTGGCCCTTCTATCCCATACACACCAATAAATTCAGGTCGAGACAACCAGTATAGTAGGGCCCCCAAATGCCCTGGTATGGCCTAGAGTGGGGTGGGCCCAACCTCCCTCTCAAATGCTCTCACATGGCCACGCGTATGCAGCCTCTGGCAAGGAAGTCCTACTCACTGCCTTCTCGTAGAGGGAGTGCCTCTTACGAAAATGAGAGGACGAAAAGCGAATGTCCGGCGCTTTAACCGGATCCCAAACCAATGGTGCAAATGAGTTCCACTCTCTCCATTCTTGTTTAACTTTGTCGTTGACGTGCTTTTAGAAATAACATTTTCCTCATCTAAATTTCCAGGAGTTGAACTTCTACCGGGAGATTCACTTTTTGACTTAGAGTATGCCGGTGACATAGTTCTATTTGGTGAAGACGCTGACAAAATGCAGTCTGCTGACTACTCTAAGCAACAATGCAGGCATGTTCAGCATGCGATTTTCTCCCTCGAAATGCAAAATGTTGCTTCAGGATTGGGTTGCATCGACACCCGAACTAGTGATAGGGAGTGAAGTAGTTGAGCGTGTCGACCGCTTCACTTATCTTGAAAGTCCCATCAGCCCTTGTGATCTGGTATGTGACGAAATCTCAGCACGGATACAGAAGGCTCGACTAGCTTTTGCCAACTTGAGTCATTTATGGCGTAGGCGAGATATCCGTCTATCAACCAAAAGACGAGCTTACTGCGCAGCAGTTCGTTCCGTCCTACTTTATGGAAGTGAAACATGGCCAGTAAGAGTAGAGAATATTCGTAGGTTACTAGTATTCGACCACAGATGTCTTCGAAACATTGCTCGTATATTCTGGGACCACCGAGTAAGTACCTCAGTTGTTAGGAAACGGGTACTAGGTAAGGATGGCAAATCAATTGAGGAAGTAGTGAAACTTAATCAGTTGAGATGGCTAGGACATGTGTTACGTATGCCGGACCACTGACTGCCCCGACGTGCGGTTTTTTCTGGTGTAGGAGTAGGTTGGAAGAAAGCTAGGGGCGGCCAGACCAAAACATGGCACAAATCCATGAAGTCACTGACAAATGGACTGAGCCATGTTGGTAGGTGTAGACTACATGGTTGGGGTCCGCGAAACGATAGCAACCGATGGTTAGAGATCTTGAATGGCATGACTCAAAATCGTTTGCAATGGCGCAGGTGCATCCACTCTTTGTGTTCTCTCAAACACTGATCTTCTGAATTCTTCATGTCCTTTATTTTCTTTTCAAATCTATTCCACTGGACTGTACTCCTTAAATCACATCATCAAACCCTAATGTTCCCTATCACTACTTATACTTTTACTACCTCTACCAATACGGGATTTGAATCGATAACTGAATCTCTATGCTAATGTGGTATAGCAACTCGAACTGATGTACGTACGCAAGAAGTTCCACGTTGTTACTGACGAACTGACTGACCAT